AAGTAAAAAAATAAGTGTGTAAATGATCGTGACACGAACCGCGGCTTTCTGTTTCGGGGCCGCCCGATTACCGACCGAGCAATTATAAAATTTTTTTTTCGACAAAATTTACCGTCATATTCGAATGATATTTTTCATTCCCTGAAAACAGGGATCAAAGGACATTTTATAAAAATGAAACCTAGCTAGATCGATTCGATCGAATCTACGCACATACTAAGAAAATCGCTGGAGCAGTTTCCGAGACTCCGATTATATATATATATATATATGTATATATATACCCTGCTCATTCGTGGCCCTACCACAGTCAATGTTATACGCGTTATATAGTTTACTTTGGAAAATGGAACAGTCAACTAATTAATTACATTTACCACGAACTTAAATCGCACACATGATCCATATGTGATTAATATACGTTGCTTATATAATCTAAGGTTTTTAAAATCTTTGCAACTGCTACAATCAGTCAAAGGGTGAAAGTGCAATTATGGTAATCAAGTCTTTAAAAAGTACTCTAGAATAATAGAGCGTTTGATGGTTCAGATTTCTTCTTCTTCTTTCTCCTGTCCTTTTCGCACCTAATGTATTTTTTATTTATTTATTTATTTAAAATTTATTGTTTACACCTCAACTTAAGGCTAAACAAAAGGCAAACTTAATGCTAAGTACCCGGAGAACCGAGCTTTGCTCGGTTTGTTTTTTTTTTTGGTAAATCGTGTATTTTGGAAATTACATTTAGATACAAATTACTGAGTAATGAAATATGCATAATGTTTTTCGATCTTACCGACGTAATAATAAGAAAATATGAACTAATGTTTTTCACAAAAGAAAGAACTTTAAAAAAAAAGGGAAAAAAAATAACAAAGTAACAAATAGACAAAAAATTAAAAATAAAGAAAGCAATGATCTGGAATCGAAAAAAAAGTAAAACAATAAATGTGTGCGATCCAAGGCCGTCTGTTTTGGGGCTGCCCGATTACCGACCGAGCTATTATGACATTTTCTCTTGTGGCGAAATTTACCGTCATATTCGAATTATATTTTTCATTCCCTGAAAACTGGGATAAAATGACATTTTCTAAAAATGAAACCTAGTCAGTTCGATTTTTCGCCCCCGAATCTACGCACATACTAAATTTCATGAAAATCGCTGGAGCCGTTTCCGAGATTCCGATTATATATATATGTAGGCGTAGGATAAATAAAATCTTTATTTTGAGTATATTGTTACTTTTTTCATCTTTATTTAAATTACTACATTTTAAGACACAGATACACGTTACTCGTTCGTGGCGTCGTTGCGAAAAGTCCCTCAATCCCTTTTACGTCATCCATCCTTCTCATTCACACAATACTTCGTTCAAAAATCATCTTTTACTCAACTATTAAATAATTAATCCTACATATATACAGCGTGTCGTTACCATCGCGACAATAAATGAACACACGTCTAACGCTACTTGCTAATAATCATAAAAAAATGTTAACGTTAAACAAAATCCATAATTAAAAAAATATATTTTTCAAACATACTAATTAAGTAAAAAAAGAAACAAAATTTGTAACATCCTATACAACTCGCGCCACAGCGTCGTATTACAAGCCTCTCCTTCTAACAGTATGTTTTGTCTCTTTTAAATTCATTCAACCCATTCATATGCTTTGTGACCTTTACAAATGAACTTTACGTTACGCTTTTATAGGTAAGGGTGTTCTATAATTCTTTGTTTTGGAAAATTTTATAACTCTGTAAATATTGATGTTTAAATAATTTAAATGTTTAATACAACTTTAAAAAGTTATACCCTATATGTGTATTCATTTATTGTCGCGATGGTAACGACACGCTGTATACAAGAATTGCTCGTTTAAAGGATAAGATAAGCATTCTCTTCCAGTCAACCCTGGGAGTAGAGAAAGTTTGACGTAGGTGTAAAACAAAATGTAATGTATCAGTTTTAACAAACAAAATGACTGCCGAGGTAGTTCCTTCAAACAGATGTACATATAAAATCCAATAGTACATTATATTATAATAACATTCTAGATGTTGCTTTAGAATCCAACTAATGGAAACTAATGGAAATCATATTTATACTGAGTGGTTCAGTCCGTCGTCAGAAAAATACTTTTGGTTTTGATTTGGTTTATTTTTATTTGTCATAACAACTGTGTTTTATATTTTGCTGTAATAAAAACATTTTTCATTTCATTTCGATCGAAAGGCAGTAATTATGTATAGCGCCATCTGTCAAAGCTTATAGTAATTATTATATTCTTATAAAATATAATAAAATTCCCTAGTATCGTCATCTACTATCAAATTTTAAAAATATAATCTTAGGTAAGGTAATAAATACACAAAAAGAATATATTATAATAATACGCATAAATAATATATATACCTTTTTATCGTAAACCATACTTTAAAATAACGGAACATGCATGAAAGGCATCTAATACACTATGTATACTACTAAAATACTACATAATTATAATACTACTAACTAACTACTATATACTAATACACAACATACTATTTGAGTGCAGTAAATTGAGTGATATTTAAATTTTTCGTATTAAATAATTGATTAATAAAAAAGATTTTTATTATAAACTAGCTGAGCGGGCGGACTTCGTATCGCCTAGCAAACAATGAATGTCGTGTTACCTTTTAGCTGAACTTAATTTAGGCTTTTATGAACGTAATACAATAAATACGAAAGAAATATTAAATTTTTTAGTTTCATGAATCACAATTATAATTTCAACATCATCTTCAATTTCAATCCATTTGGCTAACCAAATGTGTGCATGCGTCAAGCCTCATTTTAGCGATTCGAATAAATACATCCAGCATCGACTAATGTAGTCTAGTAGTAGACTATGTGTGAGTAAGTGTTGCTTAACAATTTAATTCATCGGCGATCAGCAGCCGCCTTACTCCCCAAATTCGATTCGAATTTGTTTTTGTTTTCGATTCGAACTCACTCTTGATTCGAACTCGATTTGAAAAGCTTACTCCCGAACCGAATCGAAACTAGAAACAAGATCGTGCGTTATCAAATCGTTTAATTGTATCCGGCCTATTATGCTACAGACAAATGTTCCATGTTTACGGTTATAACATCTTTTTTTAGATAAAATGTTAATTGTTTAATTTTTTCCGAATAATTATTCGATCTTAGTTCCAATTAGAGCCACCGCTCGATTGTGCGCTGGCGTCAGATTCGGTGGTACGAACTGTCATGAATTCGAGTCAAACTCGATTGATTCAGAACTCGAATCTGTCGGGAGTAGGCCTGCAGGCCTTCTCCCGAAAGATTTGGACAGATTCGAGTTGGGGCTCTAATTGGAACTAACTAAGATCGAATAATTTTTCCGAAAAAATTAAGCGATTAACATTTAGTGACGGTGTGTAGTGGAGCTATAGTAAATTAATCGGCGGAGAGGAGGGTAGTAGCGGTGAGGTGCGAATATTGTGGAGAGGAGAGGTGTATAAAATGAGTTGAGCCCAAGTAGCGGGCTCATTTGAAATACGATTTTCGTAAATTTAGCTTAAACATTAATTATTATAAAGTTATTAACAGTTTCGATTAAAGAACGATTACTTGAAACAGTGTGTCTTTTACTCCTCTTAATAATTTCATCTAAAAATGATGTAATAACCGTAATATACCGAGTTAACAGATTTGATAACGCATGATCTTGTTTTCTAATTTCGATTCGGTTCGGGGTAAGCTTTTCAAATCGAGTTCGAATCGAAAACAAATTTGAATCGAGTTTGGGGAGTAAGACGGTTGATTTCTGCTTGAAGACACGTGCGGTGATGTGCCAATCACTTGATGTTTTTCCGGGAAGCAACATTTGAACAATTTCTATCCATTTCGGATTTTTTTTTTATAAATATGAAAGGTTGCCAAACGAGCAGACGGTTCACCTGATGTTAAGTGAATACCGCCGCCCATAGACGTCTGCTACACCCAAGGGTTTGCAGATGCGTTCACAACCTTTTGAAAATAGGATTGACGTACATATTTGCATATGACGCAGGCTACCTGTATATGTTTGTAATTGCATTGCGTAAGTAGATATACTCTTCCGAATGAAATTTAGCTTGTTCAACCGAACGAAATCGCAACAATCGTAACGAAAATCACGATAATTCGAAATATCGTTGTAAAACGATATTCTAAATTGTTTGTATGCTGGAAAGGATATAACAATAGATGCGCCAAGCATTGCTTCAAATGCTAAATAACAATGTAGAAGGAAGGCGTTAAGATTTTCGTCGCTGTGGCTATCAGCCGTTTAGCTCAGTGGCTAGAGCGTCAGGCCGCGAATGCCGAAGACGTGGGTTTGATTCCCACAGCGGTGACTTTCTTTTCGTACTTTTTCTACATGTTTTAATATTTTATAAATGTTTTGATTTTATTCTTAACATATCCATTTCAAAAGAAATATATTATATTTGATGTTCTTGGCCATTTTTAATGAAATGGTTTAATTTATGTATAATTATTTTGCCCTTACCTATAATATAGAAAAAGGCTCATTTTAAATTTAGAAATTTTTGTTTGAATTTAATAAATTTTAGTGGGTTTTCGAATTGCTTTAGGAGATTAGGAGTATTACTTTTGAACAGTTGGTAACACTGTCAACCAACTGTGTGTCTGTGAAATGTGTTGTGTATGTGATGTGTTGTGATTGCGATTAATCGTGTTTTGTTCCACAATTCCACATTTTCTGCGTTTATTTAAGTCCGTTGAGTAGAATATTTTCCTTCGGCAGTGGTTTCCGGTAAAATGTGTGTTTTATTGAGATATAAGTCCGTTAAGTTCTTTACTCCGGCACCAAACACACACCGATGTTTGTTTTTAGTTATTACTTATTATTAACATATTAAAATACGTAGAAAAAGTACGAAAAGATTGCCGCCGCTGTGGGAACCGAACCTATTAACATAATTTTATTCAAATTAACTCTTCTAGATGCCATCTGTTAATACTTGTTGCGTTCCTGGATGCTCGGAGATGAGCGGTACGTATTTCATTTTTATATCAAATCCTGGAACAACTATTTTCCTGGCATGGTTTTATGAATGATAGATAATGATGAGAAAAAAATAAAAGACAGTAACGAGAACGCATAAAGTTAATTTTATGCATAAAGTTTATTAAAACTTTATGATACATAAAGAAACCACTTATAAACACACAAGCAAATATACCATCCGTTAAATGTTTTTTAGCAATTAGTAAATAATAAAATTAATGTTTTTTTAGCATCTACGCGCATACTTCATAGTTTTCCTAATCCAATGAAGGACCATAAACGTTTTCACACGTGGATATCTAACATTGGTGCGCCTGAACTCGCGGGATTAACAAATGAAACCATTTATAAATGTCGCCGTGTTTGCCATGCACACTTCGAGCGAAAATATTGGTGTCGTTATGAGAGGATTTCAAAAGTAGCGATTCCTACTTTAAATATACTACATATAGGTGAGAAATTAGTTTTTTTTACAACAGAAGATTGCAGATTGTATACCCAGTATTTATCCATAATCACTGCCCAAATGCATTGGCAACATTTAAAAGATAGGAGCGGGCTTCCTCACATACTAGACAAAATTTAAATGCATACACCCTGGGCCTCTGAGTAATAAATTCCCTTGCTCAAATCCTAGACAGGGCTTTGAAAAGATGCTTTATATCTATATAACAGGTTGGAGTTGGGAGGTCCCTTTCAAATATTATTCCTTTCAGATAAAATATGAATAAATAAATACGGTATGAACTGGTAATTTATAATTTATGAATAAAATTACCACTACTGATAATTAGGGTTGTAGCTCTTGAATGGTAGATTTAAGTTGAATTTTTGATGACTCCGTGGCGCAGTTGCCAAGTTATTGGCTTCGGCGTCGGGGGTCGTGGGTTCGATTCCCACACGGGACAACTATTTGTGTGACCCACAGATAGTTGTTTCGCATCTGGGTGTTTGTCCGCGTGAAATTTATGTTTGTAAAAGGTCCTTACAACACAGGATAATATTATCCTAAAGTAAGGGCAGTGTTTTTAAAAAAAAAAAAAAACTCAAAAAGAAAAAAAGAAATAAATTTAAGTTTCATTTGCAGGATTTTAATTTAATAAATATGAACACTTATAAATACAAACAATAAAAAGCTTGTTGAATTAAATCACCTAAACTAGGGATCAGATTCAGCTTTGCTGCCCGCGGCCTCCGAAGGGCTTAGTCCGCTACTGTGCATAAGCAGTTTTACATTACTCTGGTGGGAAGCACTATGGACAAGAAAAGCTGTATGAAAGATGTTATAGCTTCAAAATATTCTCTAGCTGAAAGGATAAATATGTAATAGATATATACTTTTATAATGTTAATTTTATTGGAAATTAAATATAATGGACATAGAATGGAATGGAACTAGATTAAAACTATAGACTTTAACTAACTGCTGTGATAAGTAAAATCTGTTCTTTATTTTTCAGAAGATAAATATAATCCAGATGTTGCTTTAAAATCTGGTGAAGCACCTAGTTTTTCAAGCTGTAAGTATTCTTAACAAATTATATTTTTAACTAACTGACTTGGCAAACGTTGTTTTGCCATATAAATTATTTCTAGAGGTATCAGAACACACACATAAAGTATTTGACAGGTTACACAGACATAGTTGACAGGTTGACTGGGAAAATAAAGTAGTTGCTATTTCGATTTTCTATGCAATTTTTCCATAATTTCTCATCGTTTAAACCTTCCCTGGACTGCCACAAACATTTCAAAACCTAAATTAGCCAAATCGGTCCAGCCGTTCTCGAGTTTTAGCGAGACTCAAGTCAAGTCAAGTCAAGTCAAATAATAAAATAAAAACGTTAAAAAAACCGTGATTAAAAAAAATATTTTTCAAACCAACTAATTAAATTTAAAAAAAAAATTGTAACATCCTATACAACTACAACTGACTGATTCATACATGCAGAGACTTTTTCATTCGTTGACACAGCGTCGCATTACAAATCTCTCCTTCTAACAGTATGTTTTATCCCTTTTAAATTTTACAACAATTTTAAATAAGGTTAAATTTTATGTTCATCTGGTTCTCACATTAAAAACAAAGTTGTTAAAAATATAATATTGTATCAAAAGAGGTTTGTGCTCTTCTTGCCGATACTTCCAGTATTAAACTTTCCCGTTTCGTCTGGTGAGTGAGGTAACTGGGGTCAACGATTTTGAAGGTTGTTAACGCATCAGCAAGCTCTTGATGGATTCACATTTAGAAGTTTTTATAAATTGCAAATATGTAAAATTTTCTACTTCACTGCCGCCTTGTTCAAACCATTTGTGCAACAGAAACTCCTGCATATCGCTTCCATAATTCTAAATGCATTGTTTCTCTATTTCCAGTTAACACTAGAGAAATGGCATTGTGCGAGAGTCAATTGGATTCGGCGTTGCCTCAGATTAAGAGGGAGGTATCCTCACCATGCAGTGAGGGTGAGGTGTCCCCTGAGAAGAAGCCGAAATTGGAGCCGAATGGAGACGTATATGGGCTTAAAAAAGGTACAACATGTCTCTGTTAGGTGTACGCTTAAGGTACTATTGATTGATAAAAGGGGTTGGATTTATTGTTCGGTGTGCTTTTGCCTATGATCGATGTTAGATTGCACAGGGCACGGTGGCAAACGGTGGTGGTTTTAAAATTTTGTGAAGTTATACTTCTTTAGGCACGCTATGAAAATTTATGAGATTGAAATTTTAAGATGTAACACAAAACCCTCTGAAGCCCGCTAAACCGCTAGATGGCAATATATTCTCAATCAAGTTCGCCCGTTACAGTTCTCAGTAAAGAATGTAGAAGGCGCTTTCATAATTTTATTATTCAAGTGCTCCAATATAATTGAGGTTAACTATCTGTACCTATGTAGTTTTTTAAACATAATTAATATTTAATACAATTTAATGTTATTAATATTTAATAAAATTAATAATAAATGTTATTAAAGTATTAATGTTAAATATGCGTTATTGGTTATTTAATATTTACAAAATAAAGAAATAAATTTAATAAAAATATTTTGATAAAATTATAATAGAATAGCATCAAATTACGTAAAATATTAATTTTTAATATTTATTATTATATTGAATACATAATAAATGTAAAAATAAATGAACAAATTCAATGAAAACTTTCAATGATAAAAATGTAATGAATATTAAATTAAAAAAATAATAAATTTTATGAATAAATACAAATTCAATTTTTGTATTTACTATTAAATTTATTTATTTACTTTTAAAATATTAAATAATCAATGTAAATATGTAAAAGTAAGAATCTTATAATATTTAGTACACATATAATCACATTTATTTATTATTGTCTAAAACAAATCTTATTCATCAATCTAAGATTTTTTTTAGTTTAGATTTGATTTATATTAATGGTACCATTCAATTTCAATTCTAGTTTTCAAGATGGGTAAAACAAACGCTGAAAAATGTAAAAGCTACTACTATCGAAAGAAAGCTGCCAAGGAGGCTGAGAAAATTCGCCAGGGCTTGTCGGTAAAAAGGCCAACAAGAAAAACAGGCGCAGAACGTACTCGTGCCTGTAGGCTGCGAAAGAGAATGACTGGGATTTTATCCGTCCCGTCAACTTCAAATCCACCACCTGCCAGTGTTGTTACAAACCGACCGGATGTCTCAACGGTGTCCAGTAATGGTGTTGCTGACCATGATGGTGAGAATTTAAAAGATTCATTTTTATCTACTGCAACACACGACAGTCGCAACACTATAATTGCACAAGCTATGGTGCATATGGCTAATTCTCATGTGCTGTATAATCGCTGAAAAGTAAAGTAGCCCATACATGTCCCACTGCTGGGCAAAGGCCTCTGTACAGAGGGTATCAGTCCATCATTGGCGGACTTCACATGTCTTCGAAATAATTTTTTTATTATTATTTCGAAAATATGCAGGTTTCCTCACTATGTTCTCCTTCACCGCTGCGCAAGTGATAAGTCAGCACTTTCACCAGGTGGCGGCACCAATGAAATTGTTAATTTCAAGTTTTTTTTTTTTTTTTTTTTATGCGAAAAGTTGTCAAACGAGCAGACGCATCTGATGTTAAGTGAATACCGCCGTCCATGGACATCTGCTACAACCGAGGGTTACAGATGCGTTGACAACCTTTTGAAAATTGGGCTCCGGCTACCTCACTCACCAGACGAAACGCGAGAGTATTTGTCATACTTCCACTTTACGCCGGTCTTCTGTGAGATCGTGGTGCCCATTTACCCGGACGGGCCCTACCATCTTGTGGGCGAAGGTCATGCATGCGTAAGACATAATAGGCTACCCTTGCGTGGTAGCCGGCCCCCGCTGTGGGTAGGGCCACGCATGTGCTCATGCGTGCGTTTAACTATGGTGTGTCATCTAAGGGCCATCGAGGTTCGGACCGAAACCCCGATGGCCGTCGACTGTACAATTAGCTAATCGGTGGCTGTGGGCGGTGAGAACCGCCCTGGAAAAAGCGGTTCGCGAGGCCCGGATGGTGTTTGTACACTTTGAGTTGTGTACGCGTTGTGTTGGTCTCGCCGTGCTCGGAGGCGATGTTCCGGGCGAATAGTTGATAGTGTGAATTGTTTGTTGTTGCACTAACTGTGGGTGTAGTGATAACTTGTGGCTTGTTTATTCGGCTTGCGAATGGACCGCCAGTAGGCGGTGTGCGATGGCTCGATGTCCTCTAGGAGATTGTCCCACGTTGTATGTCGGTGTTCCGATACACGATCATTGACTTCTAGTCATCTGAAGGCGTCGAAGTAGGCGGGTTCGGTTCGATTCCGATCGGTATCGGTCGAAAGCGCGTTTGGTATCGGTCGAAGCGCGTATGGCTGCATTTTTCTGCCTAATTAGCAGTCGCAGGTCGGGCGGAAAGTTAAGCCGTCGGTCGCCCGACAGTTTAACCGTCCGTTCCGAGTCTGCGACTGTGGAAGTGATGGTTTCTCGGAGACTTGCTATCGCTCGATTTGCGTCATCGAACGTAGCTATCGTCTCGGGTAGGTCGACTAAGTCCTGGGGGTCCAAGGCCTTGAGTTTGACCTCAAGACGATGCCAGTCCACTACGAGTTTGGTCGGAGGGACCGCGCCGGCGTTCTGGCCCAGTTTACACAGGACGGGCCTGTGATCTGAATCTAGTTCATGGATTGTCTCTATCGACTCGATGTCGAGTGAGACCTCCTTGAATAACATGATATCTAGGATACTCGGTGTCGCGTGTTGGTAGTTGTCCACCGTAGGATACCTACTGGGCGTCGCAGGAGCAATTATGCTAAAGTTTAAATTATCGGATAAGCTAAAGAGATGCTTTCCGTTGTTATTTGGGATGCTGTGGATGTCCCATGAGCCGTGTTTGCAGTTTAGATCTCCTGTAATTATGACGGAAGGGCCTAAGTTGAGTAGCGTATCTAGGTCGCTTTGTAATAAGGTTTTGTTCCCCGAGAGGTAGGCTGAGACTAGTACAAGCGGCCTATGGCCAGTGAGCGCTAACCTACACGTGGATGCATCTATATGGCTTAGCTCTGGAATGATGAGCGGGCTACAGTGCAAGGACCGTTTGTAATAAATTAAGGTGCCTCCCAGACGGTTTGCTAACCGGTCGTGGTGGACTATGTTGTAGTTTGCGATTCTGGGATCGCGAACACTAGGTTTTAAGAATGTCTCTTGCACTAGAAAAATATCTACGTTATAATCGCGAAGGAATTCCGCGATTTCGTCCCTTTGACCCTTTATGCCGTTTGCGTTGAAATACGAAACAACCAGAGCCCGAGGTTTTGTTCTACCTGCGGTTGTACTTCCCATTAAAGTTTTTTATGAGTTCTAAGTAACGACGCGGCGGAGCGCGGTTAAATTGCGCGGACTATTAAGTTTATGTTTGGCTTGTAAATGCCCAGAGGGCTTCTACAAGCTTTTGATGTTCGCTAATGGCTTTAAATCGCGCGGTGCCAGATGTGGCGGCCGCTATTTTAGCGGACAATACGGCGAGTTCTTGTCTATTAATGCGGTCTAATAAGGCGCAGATGTTGGCAATTTGGGCGAACGGGTCGTCCTTGTTTTCGGCGAAAACCGACGGTGCCGACTGCACTTGCGGCGTCGGCGCCGTTTGATAGGCGGGCTGCGATTGAGCGATTGGTCGTGAGGCGACCGGGGGCGCAACTATCTGCGCGGCCACCTGGGGTTTCGCCCAGGCGTTTACGACGGGTACGGGCGCGGGAACGTATTTCACGCGCGCGGGTTTGGGCAAAGTAGATTTCGCGGGAGCTTTTCTCGCGGGAGTTTTTGGGGCCTTAGCGCAGCCCCTGTAGCTAGCCGGGTGGCCGGTGGTATGACAGTTAACGCAGTCCGGTGGATCTGCGCAATCTTTTGGCCGCGTACAATCGGGCGTGCCGTGGTCACCGGTGCATTTGACGCACCTAGGGTGAGCGAAACAATTATTAGCCGTGTGGCCATAGTGTTGGCAGTTGTGGCACTGCGCCACAACTCCCGATCTTCGCGGGGGCTCGATCACGAGGTCGCTGAGCCCACAGACCCTCTTCAGGTTGAAGATGGCCTTACCTTCCGGGTAGGGTCAAGTTCAACCATCACCATGTCCATAGGGACACGGGTTCTGGGGTGTCTGAGGCGTCGGACGGCATGCACAGGATATCCCTGAGTGCGGATGTCGGTTTTCGCCTTGTCGACATCCGACTCTTTGGGAACGCCCTTGATAACTACCCGAAGCTTGCGTTCTTCGGGCAAAAAGTAGGTGTGAAAACCTATCTTATTTTCGCGCAAGTATTTCGTTACGCGGCGGAAATCGTCCGTTGTGTCAAGGTATACGCGGATACCCATTTCTGTATTTTTCGACCGGGGGTCGCGGATATTGTGGCGTTCAAACCACGAACAAATTTGGTGCCACATATCTTTCTCCTGAATGATGATGGGTGGAGGAGGCTTTATTTTTCGCTCGGAGGCGAATTCGGGCATCGGTTTAGCCGCTGCGGCCGCCTTTTTGGCGGGGGTCGCGGTGGGTTGGTTAGTTGAAGCGGCCTCGCATTCGGGGTCGCTGTCGGCAGCGGGGCGTTTTTTGCCCTTCTTACGCGACTTTACGACGGTGAAGCCGTCGACGTTCGCGTTTTCAGCGGGGGTCGTTTCGACCTCCATGTCCGATCCGCCGTCCGATTGTGAGTCGGGAACGACGGCGCGGAAGGGGGCCGAGATGGGATGCGCGGAAGGCGCGATGGGTACGATCGCGGCGGCGGAGGTCGACGCGGCGGGCATTTCTTGTGTCGCTGAAGGCGACGCATTAGCGGGCGCTGAGGGCGCCGGAGATGACGGCGAGGCGACTGCCGGTGAAGCCGGGCTGTCGCTGGCGAACTCGACGACTAAACATTTTCTTTCGCGAACGCGAGAAAGTTTGCCCACACTTCGGGACATCGTTGGCGAAGGAATTCCTCTAGGAGGGAACCCATTTCGAGCGCTTGAGCCTTTGGGGCTTGCGCCCCGCCGGCGTGTAAGTTACTAAATAGGCCTCCCCACCTTGCGGCAGGGAGGTGTGTGCCTAAAACTAACAACTAATCCGCCTGCGCTTTAGGTGCGCTAGGGTGGGTACCTAGCTGTCGCCTATCGCAACAAGCACACAGTTATTAAATAAAAACAATGCCGCCTCAGAGGCGAAAAGTGTGTATAGAATTCTACTTACAGAACAGGAACCTGCCTACGAGCACAACACTAACACTAAACTACTGCATTGCTTGCACAAAGATTTAAATTGCAACCGAAGTTGCGAGTAGCGTCTAATTCGGGTGGCATTAGCCCTCCGTCTTAGAGAGAGTTCCGTTCCGTACGAGAGCACGAAGCGGAATGTGGTCGTATTATTTATCATCAGATGTACTACCTGCTCGCTTGACAACATTTTCACATTTAGAAATCCTTATAAATTGCAAATGTGTAAAATATTCTACTTCACTGCCACCATCTGTGAGGATGTTGCAATTCCCGATTAAGCCAAACCATTCATGCAACAGAAACTCCTGCATACCGCTTCCATAATTCTAAATGCATTGTTTCTCCATTTCCAGTTGACACTAGAGAAATGGCATTGTGCGAGAGTCAATTGGATTCGGCGTTGCCTCAGATCAAGAGGGAGGTGTCCTCACCGTGCAGTGAGCATCGGATGTCCCCTGAACCGAATGAAGACATATATGGTCTTAAAAAAGGTACAACATGTGTTTGTTAGGTGTACGCTTAAAGTACTATTAATTAAGACACGGAAGGTTTTTAAAGCAACAGTGGAAGGAATTGCTACTCTTCCTACAATAGTTTGAGATGATGGTAAAAATAAGTGGACGTTATATAAATTACTGGTCTTTAATTTGTTGAAACTTTACAACTTTGAAATATATAAGTAAGATGGCGGGTGTTGCCGTTCCGCATTCTATGGTATTATTGATTGATAACAGGGTTGGATTTGTTGTACTTTACAGTTAGATTCTATTAGAAACTGACAATTGTTGATGTTATGTAGTTTGTAGATGCTGAAAGGTACGAGTATGCTTCATGCAAATGCCTATTTTCCCTTGGAAGGTTTTTAAAACAACAGTAATGTGCCGCGGTTGGATGGTTGTGTGTCAAATGCCTTCATGTATGGTTAAAGGTCTATTATGGAGAAACATTAAGGATGCTTGTAATTTGTCACTTTTGATGTGTGTGTCTGAATAACTGCGGCAGGGCCACACAACAGTTTCCCCGTTTGAATTAATCAGCAGTCTTGGCTGGGGAAATTGGCCTCACAGAAGACCATCGTCAAGTGGAATTATTAATGTGTTATGTTGGATGAGTATGGTAGAGGCCACTTTTTTAAAGGTTGGCCACCATGTACAATGCTCGCTCAAGGTTCCTCACTTATAAATAAGCCACATGAAAGAGATACCTTATTTTAAGTTAGAACAGTTTATTTATTAGTGGATTCTTTGATTTCTTTACTAGGGGTATACTAATTTCAGAGATTTACTTTGTTTGAGGCCATTCGGAATATTGGTGCAGTTATATAGTTATAGTGCTTCCTTTTGTTAGAAATTATTACGAACCTGATCAAAACATTTTAATTTGGTATATTGTTTTGTACTTATAAGTTGCGAGTTTATTGTATACTTTGGTTTTAATTTATATTGTGTCAGATGTCTATAATTCAAAAAAATCAGCCCGAACTTAGGCAGACAGTTGGCTAGGAAGATGGTAGATTATACAAACGCCTGTTTCTCTATCTACAATCATTGTCTGATATGTTTTGACTGTAGTGCATATATTTAATTTATTTGTACTTCTAATGTGGAGATACTTTTTATCTGTGTTCCTCGAAGATGGTTATATTAATTATGGACCCTTCAAAGGGTTTTTTTAATCTGTGCTCCTACGAACGGTTTCATAATACGTGCGTAGATACATTTGTATGTGTGAGTGTGTGCGTTTTTGTATGTGTTCTTATTACGCGTGGGGACCGAACCTCGTTTTTTTGTATGTGAAAAATTGCCAAACGAGCAGACGGTTCACCTGATGTTAAGTGAATATCCCCATGGACATCTGCTACACCCGAGGGTTCCAGATGCATTGACAACCTTTTGAAAATTGGGCTCCGGCCACCTCACTCACCAGACGAAACGCGAAATCATTTCTCATACTTCTACTTTACGCCAGTCTTTTGTGAGGTCGTGGTACTTACCCGGACCGGCCTGCCCATTCGTGCAACAGCCGCGGCAGCTGCGTGGCCCTACCACCGTAAAAAGTGCCTCTAGGGAAGTAAATAAATATTTCAGGATATAAGAATTGTCGCTAACTCTCATTATTGCGTCTGCACCCATGGGCAGGCTCCTCCAGAGAATACCACGGCCTCACAGAAGATCGGCGTGGAGCGGAAGCGTTATACTTATGCGTTTCGGCTGGTTCTCACATTAAAAAAAAAGTTTTTTTTTTATGGAACCCACTAGCGCTTTACTGCCATCCCACCTGATGGTAAGTGGTGATGCAGCGGTGGATGGTAAGCGCGCTAGCTCAGTAAAAGCCTGTTCACTCTTGCCTTGAAGACGCCCACGTTATAATCGGATGAGAAGACCGACGCCGGCAGGTTGTTCCATTCCTTAGCCGTGCGGATGTTAAAAATATAATATCGTATCAAGGGGTTTGCGCTCCTCTTGCCGATACTTCCAGTGTTAAACTTCCCGTTTCGACTGGTGAGTGATGACCGGGTTCCACGTTCTTAAAGGTTGTTAACGCAAAGGTGTACTAACTGTAAAATTTTCCACTTCACTGCCGCCTTCTGTGAGGATGTTCCAATTCCCGGGTGAGCCAAGCAAATTCATGTAGCATAACGCTTCCGTAATTCTAAATGCATTGTTTCTCCATTTCCAGTTAGCACTACAGAAATGGCATTGTGCGAGAGTCAATTGGATTCGGCGTTGCCTCGGATTAAGAGGGAGGTGCCCTCACCGGAGGAGAGTCGGCTGTCCCCTGAGATGAAGCCGAAATTGGAACCAAATGGAGACGTATATGGGCTTAACAAAGGTACAACGTGTCTCTCTTAAGATACTATTGATTGATAACAGGGTTGGATTTATTGTTCGGTGTTCTTTTGCCTATGATCGATGTTAGATTGCACAGGGCACGGTGCTAGCGCCGTAAATCTTTCCTTATTAATTTTTTTTATGATTTAGCCTCTTTTGTATTTTTAATGTGGTACTCTCACCACATTTATTTTATTACATATATAGACTGTACAAAGCTTCATTAGGCTGTATGCCTAATGAAGCTTTGTACAGTCTATATGCTGATGAAAAGAATGTTTCCACGAGTGACCATACAACCAATCTGCTTACTTGATTTTAACGTTTACAATCACCGCCGCTAGAAGGCGGGGTGCCCTCGCACTACACAACTTTAGATATTTGGAGAACCGCTCTGTTTTGGGTCTTTATCTATGTCTATACCGCGTGTCTTTACAATCGCGACAATAAATGAACACACATATAGAGGATAAATTTTTAAAATTGTATTAAACATTTACATTATTTAAACATCAATATTTACCGAGTTATAAAAATTTTCCAAAACTAAGAATTTTAGAACACCCTTACGTATAAAACTGTAACGTAAAGTTAATTTGTAAAGGTCATAAAGCATATGAATGGGTTGAATGAATTTGAAAGAGACAAAACATACTGTTAGAAGGAGAGGCTTGTAATACGACGCTGTGACAACGAATGAAAAAGTCTCTGAATGTATGAATCAGTCAGATGTAGTTGTATAGGTGTTACAAATTTTGTTTCTTATTTACTTAATTAGTTTGTTTGAAAAATATTTTTTTTAATTATAGATTTTTTTAACGTTAATATTTTTATGATTATTGGGCAAGTAGCTAGCGTTAGACGTGTGTTCACTTATTGTCGCGATTGTAAAGACACGCTGTATACTTTTTGTTTCTTACATAATTGGAGCTCAACCTGATTTAAGATGAATGTGATGTAATGAATACAAATACAAATGTAATTTCACACCTTGTTATTTATTTAGAGAATTTCGATTCATTGCTTATCATATACAATATTGTACTTTGCAGTCAGACTCTATTGGAAACTGACTATTTCTGAACATTGCCTTTTGTTATGTAGTGTTTAGGTGCTGATAGATACGAGTATGCTTCATGCAAATGCCTATTATCCCTTGCCTTGAGGACACGGAAGATTTTTAAAGCAACAGCTATGTGCCACAGTCTGGGTGGTTGTGTGTCAAATGCCTTCATGTACGGGTAAAGGGCTAAAGGGAGAAACATAAAGGATTTTTGACAACATTTTAACATTTTGGAATTTTTATAAATTGCAAATGTATAAAATTTTCTACTTCACTCAATTCAATTCCCGAGTGAGCCAACCATTCATGCAACGGAAACTCCTACATACCGCTTCCAAAATTCTAAATGCGTTGTTTCTCCATTTCCAGTTGACACTGGAGAAATGGCATTGTGCGAGAGTCAATTGGATTCGGCCTTGCCTCAGATTAAGAGGGAGGTGTCCTCACCGTGCAGTGAGGATCGGATGTCCCCTGAGCCGAATGAAGACATATATGGGCTTAACAAAGGTACAATATTTCTCTGTGGTGTACGCTTAAGGTGTACGCTTAAGGTACTATTGATTGATACAGGGTTGGATTTATTGTTCGGCGTTCTTTTGCCTATGATCGACGTTAGATTGCACAGGGCACGGTGCTAGCGCCGTGCATCTTTCCTTGTAAAATTTTTTTTTATCATTTAGCCTCTTTTGTATTTTTAATGTGGTACTCACACCACATTTATTTTATTACATATATAGACTGTACAAAGCTTCATTAGACATACAGCTGATGAAAAGACTGTTTTTATAAATTTTTAAATTTTATTATAAATTTTTTGTAATATTGTCAACAGTTCTTCAGTGATTTTTTAAGTAAATACGTATTTCAGGATATACATAACAATATACAGCATGTCGTTACCATCGCGACAATAAATGAACACACGTCTAACGCTACGTGCCAATAATCATAAAAAAATATTAACGTTAAACAAAATCCATAATTAAAAAAAATATATTTTTCAAACAAACTAATTAAGTAAAAAAGAAACAAAATTTGTAACACCCTATACAACTTGCGCCACAGCGTCGTATTACAAGCCTCTTCTTCTAACATTATGTTTTGTGTCTTTTAAATTCATTCAACCCATTGATATGCTTTGTGACGTTTACAAATGAACTTTACGTTACGCTTTTATAGGTAAGGGTGTTCTAAAATTCTTTGTTTTGGAAAATTTAATAACCCTGTAAATATTGATGTTTAAAGAATTTAAATGTTTAATACAACTTTAAAAACTTATCCCCTATATGTGTGTTCATTTATTGTCGCAATGGTAACGACACACTGTATATCTAGTCAAACAAAGCAAAGTCTGCATTAACTGATCAGCTTTTTTGTAACCAAAACACTAATAATCTAATATATAAAAGGGTGGTCCACCTCAAACATTTTTTTCTGCCCTACAAAACAACGTTTGCCGGGTCAGCTACTAGATATTATACAAACACACAGAAAATAGTTAAACATCATTTTCGTCACAAAATATTTTAGCAGTTGTGGGCATCGAACCCACACCCATTGGCGCAGGAAACAGGTTCACGGTCCACTGCGCCAGAAGGGTCGTACAAAGTAAAGTAAAATAACATTTTAGGAACAACATTCAAAACCGACTTAAAATCACTATTGTACTGCCGGTGGTTCACCTGATGTTAAGTGATAACGGCCGCCCAAAGGGGGCACCGGCTACTTCACTCACCAGACGAAACGCAGAAGTCTAAGACTCGCGTGGTCCTACCACCTACAAAGTGGCACAAAACCATGATGTCATGTACAAACCGATGTGTGGCAATCAAATTGCAATTCTATAGACTGCTTGCTATCACCTTCCGTATCATATGTTCTTATATCATCTGTCACATTCACTTATTATATAACTAGCTTTTCGCCCGCGGCTTCGCTCGCTTTGAAGCATTAAAATTAACATCTTTCTTTAAAAAATAAATAATTATTTTATAAATAAAGATATTTTCAAACCTTTACAACACTTTTTCCAATTAAAAAATAGCCTATGCATATGCTCTTCAGCATTCTCTGTACCAAATTTCAGTTAAAACGGGTTAGTAGTTTTGTCGTGAAAGCTGACAGACAGAGTTACTTTCGCATTTATAATATTAGTATGGAGTATGGACACGCGTCGACGCGCGACACGGAGATTCGTTCAGTCTAAAATAAGCTCAATCTCGCGTAAAGAACCCAAAAACAAAAAAGAACAAAAAAAAAAGCAAATCAAAATAAATATTACAGTGTAACATTAAGTAACGTCCTAATGGTCACAGAGTTAAGTGCGCGTACACGTAACATTCGCATCGGAACGTACCCTCGTCTATCCTAAAATCTATTCCTGTTTAATTTAAATAAAACCATTCAACGCACTAAAGCGCGGAGCGGTTCGTGAAAAAATTCTTCTAAGCGACCACTTTGGTCGCCTAGAAGTCCACTGCTGAACGGTATTACATCGCTGAGGCGGTTGTATAGAGCAACGCGCAACAGTCAAACCATAGCGCGTTCTAGGCCGACGCCACCGCCATCTAGCGCTTAAAATAAAAACTAACTACGATGACGCACAAGATGATTACACAAGTATATTAAGAGAATTCTTCATTATTATAGGCTTCATGTAACCTCTTATTGATCTTCAAAACTACCACCGGTTTATTGAACCTAAAACTAGATCTATGTAAAGAACCGGTAAGAAATTCTGCGGTCTTATCTTTCTTTACTATAAGCACAGTCATTTCCAACAGAAACTTGCCCTAAATGTATTCTTAAACATTATAATAGGCCCTTTCCATTACCAAAATGTTTCTAATTACACACGAAAATACGCTACATTTATTAGTATAATAAATTAATTGACAAAAATAAACACAATATGTTAACAAATCGATAAAAATAAACAAGTAGAACAAGTTTTAATGTTCAATCTTAAGTGCAGAGATTAGCACTATAAGAAAAAAAACTTTAAAATTTATAAAAAAAAAGCAATGGCGACATCTCTCGTTCGAATTATCGTTGTAAAACGATATTCGAAATTGTTTGTATGCTGGAAAGGATATAACAATAGATGCGCATTGCTTCAAATGCTAAATAACAATGTAGAAGGAGGGCGTTAAGGTTTTCGTCTCGCTGTGGCTATCAGCCGTTTAGCTCAGTGGCTAGAGCGTCAGGCCGCGAATGCCGAAGACGTGGGTTCGATTCCCACAGCGGCGACAATCTTTTCGTACTTTTTCTACGTTTTAAAGTAGAACACAGTTTTCATAAAAAGACCTTTCGATAACATTTTCCTTATAACGCATGTATGATAATGCCATCTATTGACAATTTGTGTATATGAGAAATACTGACGTACACTGAAAACTTTTTCTTGTATTTACGCGATGAGACTATTTTTACGGATTTATGGTGATTGTTGACTATGTTGTTACTATGACTGTAACTCTATATATTGTTTACTATGACTTCGCTGTCTGTCTGTCTGTCTCGCCCGGTTTCTGAAACACAGATCATCGTAGATGTAAAATAATCAGCTGATACAATTTTATGTTTATTACATAGTAACAAATCACATTATTAGTTAGATATCACAGGTTCAATTTCATTATCATATTCATCAGAATATACTAATATAACTATATTATATTTGATTTGACCTTTTCTTCCACACGTTACTTGAGACTAAGAGAAAAATTGGGATAAAACCACAAAAAGCACAAAGTACAAAAAATCTTAAAACCATAGAAATTTATTCTGTACTAGTTTCTAGCACCCAGAAAAGTTTTACTCAAATAAAAATAAAGTATACGTGTTCTCTTCCTACCGTTTTGTTATATGTATAGAATATATAAGTTTCTCTTTTCATTTCAGATCCACCTACAACCTCAATTTTGGGTTCAAGAAGTCAACTGAGTCCTATTGATAATACTACAATTAATACACCATCTACTTCTAAAGGTAACAGATTATATCGTTTGCTTTATTTATTGTCATCACTGACTGTATAATATAAAATATTTTTGTCTGTGACAATATCATCATGGACTTAGATTAGTGGAGAAACCATCCTTTATGTTACTCAAGGACATAAATTAATACCATACCAAATTTAACCACAAGTTCAAGAACAAAATCACAGACAAAAATTCCAAATACTGTTGAAATGTGTTCTAATGTTTCTGATAGGCCGCAGAGTAGTTTTTCTCAAAAATGTATAGATTTTTTCACTACTCCTCTCTTCTATAGTATGTTATGTGAAGTTTAAAGTTTGTATTTCTTCAGGCTAATCTCGGTGGAGGATAACCGAGGAAATGTTAAAAAGAAAATGTTGAGATTTAAATTTATACAATGCGCACCAATCTTTGCAACACTCACCAAGTTTTGCAAACCAATCAACGCCACCATAGCAACCAATAACAACTTTTTGAGATTTACCTACAATTTCAAGTTATTTTTTAATCATTTTAAACTCTACACGGCACATTTCATACGGCATTTTATTCTTTATACTGTTTCGATATAACTATCCGTGGTTGCTTGTAGTTACGCAATATATATGACATAAGATAGAGACCTGTTTGTTTATTTATCTCGTTAAGCTATACACGAAGCGGAGGTAGAACTTACAACATGACGATAGTATCAAAATAAATTTTAATAAAAATAAAAATAAATACAAATATTAAAAATAAAAATATTTTTAACGCATTTAAACTTAAACGAATCATAGAATTAATAACAGTGAGAAATAATTAAAAAAAAAACGATTTTATTTTTCAGTTTCCGAGATGCCTTCGAGAAATGCTGTGAAGTGTAAAAATTATCGTAACCGAAAAAAAAGTGCAAATGTAAAAATAAAAAAACCATTAACGTCCGCAGAAAGGTCTCGGATGTATAGGTTGCGGAAAAAACAACTCGCTCAAGGAATTAAATCATCTTTAAATGAAGTTTGTACTCCACCAACTTTCAATTCGCTAATGACGTCTGAACAATCGCCTCAGCCTGTTACTAAAGGTAAATATAATAAATATAATAAAATAAAAATTCTCTTATCTCCGTAATATTTTTTTAAATTGAATTATTTTACTTGGTCACTCAATTTCAATTAAATTCAATTGCTTAATTGAATATTTTTATTTATAATAATTTCAATAAATTTTCTTCTACCCTCCGTATGTATATTGGGTCTTCTAAGGGACATTCAAAATTCTACCCTCCGTATACAACGTGTCGTTACCATCGCGACAATAAATGAACACAGGTCTAACGCTACTTGCCAATAATCATAAAAAAATATTAACGTTAAACAAAATCCATAATTAGAAAAAAATGTTTTTCAAACAAAGTAATTAAGTAAAAAAGAAACAAAATTTGTAACACCTATACAACTCGCGCCACAGAGCCGCATTACAAGCCTCTCCTTCTAACAGTATGTTTTGTCTCTTTTAAATTCATTCAACCCATTCATATGCTTTGTGACCTTTACAAATGAACTTAACGTTACACTTTTATATGTAAGGGTGTTCTAAAATTCTTTGTTTTGGAAAATTTAATAACTCGGTAAATATTGATGTTTGAAGATTGTAAATGTTTAATACAATTTTAAAAAGTCATCCTCTATATGTGTGTTCATTTATTGTCGCGGTGGTAACGACACACTGTATATGTATAAGGGTCTTCTAAGGAACATTCAAAATTTAAAACTTAGTTTTTAACGATTATTCGAATTTTCTTAAATTTCTATTAACCGCAGTATCAAATTTTTGTCTTATATCACTTCAGTACTTCTTGGCCATGTAGCGGTCATTTTGTCCATTTTTCCTAATAGACACGGAGGGTTAAATGTTTCAGTAATTTTTGAATTTATACTTCTTTTTCGGCGCGTTAGGGAAAAATGATGAGAGTAAATTTTTACGATGCGCCCGCTCACCGTCACGAAAAACCGACACCTGAAGTTAGCTAGACATCTACGTATGTTTGCGTGAGAACCGACAACTGTGTTCACGATATTTACCACCGCATGTTAGTTTCGCATATATGTGATAGATGGCGCTCAATACATGTGATTGAAACAAATTATTATTATACAATGCATACAAAACTTTATTATTTCTAATTGTTAGTGTCGTTTTTTCCACAAACGTAGAATAAGTCGAAAGATAACATTTTTGAAAAGATTTTTATCATGTTACGTCAAAAAAGTATAACTTCTAACGCGTGTACATAATAACTTTTTTTTTTTTATTTCCCGAAAAATATTTGATATTTCGGTTTTGGTTCCGATGCTCCTCAGTTAGAAATATGCCCATATCCCATCTAGTGATTTTTTTCGACCGTCACTGACGTCAACCCTACTTGGGAAACAAATAGCTATATCCGAAACAATTATGTGGGTCGCACTGAACCTTGTCCTGTGTGGGAATCGAACCCACTACCCGAATGTACCATTCCCATCTCTCTCGCTACACTGAACTCGGATACCTATAGTGTATACTCCGTAGTGTATACAGTATTGTTTACTACAGTATATATAGCCTGTGTTTTACCTGAAAACAAATTATTTTTCTGATAATAAAATGTCTCACCGTGATAATTTAGAGAGTGAAAGTGATCAGCCTGCTGCAAAGAAAGCAAAATCGCACTATGACACACTATCAAGTCATCAGTAAGTTAATTATATTTTTATAATTAAAGTATGCATTTATCTGTGCATTAAGCACGCGTATATTTGGTGTGTTTTGAGCGCGAGTAAATGTAAAATCTACTCTCTTGGTAGATTAAAATTTACATATATTTTAATGCATATAATGTTTTTGAATTAATTATTAATTTAAATTTCATTCTTATTGAAATTAATGCATTAAAACAATTGCTCAGAGAACAAAATTTATTAAAATTGACAGAATTGTATTTCAAAATCAGCTGATGGCGTGTAGCGCCGAATGTTTTTCTTATTTGTTATTAATATGAACATTAAAAAATTAATTAATTTTTCTAATCACAGTGGAATTTATAGTGAAACATTCATTATTGATATTTATAATTTACGATCTTTAGTAACATATTGAAATAACTTGCTAAGATTCTTGAGTTTACTAATATATTGAAGCCAATTTAAATTTTTCTGTATATTATAATAACATATTTTTTATAAATATTTCAGAACCCAACAATCATCACAGGGGTCACAAAATATTATCATTGAAACTGGACATCACCAAGATCTGTTAAACACAGTAGACATACTATTAGTGTTGTGTAAGACTTTATTAATCTAATAGCACCAGAATATACTAATTTTTATTTAAGCTTCTTTTAACACTTATATATATTTTTTAGAGTAAATAATAATAAAAAAGAACGTCAAAAACGATACAGGGAGCAGAACAGAGACAAATTGAAGCGACGTGAAGCGGAAAGAAGAGATCGCATACAATATTCACAAAGTATTGTCTCTTCAAACACGAATAGAATAGAACTGAATAATGAAGAAATAACCACTGCTCAAAGTTTATCCGGTCCGGAAGAAATACAACCATCATCCATCCAAAGAAACGATCAATGTAGTGAACTAAATGCTCTCCAAAAGAAAAGAACACGTCAACAAAGATACAGGGAGCAGAACAGAGATAAATTGAGGCAACGTGAGGCGGAAAGACGGAGGCGGCCGCAAAATGCAGATGTGATTACAGAATTATCCACTTCTCCAAACATCGAATTTAAAGAAATAACTAACGATCCAACAATAGATGAAATAAGCACAAATTCTCGAAATGTAGCTTGGTTTTTGATTAAACGAATTAAGTAGTCACGTTTTGAAATAAATACGTAAATTTTTGTATTTAATGAAAATAAATAGTCATCGTTATCTGGAAAAATTATCGTATTATTTTATTTTGTCATTATGACGTATTTGTTCTTTTCTGCATAATACTTTTACAAAATAATGTCGATGTTTCCCATCTGCCAGGCGTCCCGTGACGGCTCACATTTTTTTATGAAAACTTATATTATGTGACGTTTAATTATTGACAATTTGATTATTAAAATTTAATTTTATTCACGTTATTTACATTTTTACGGTGGCAGGGCCACGCAGCAGCCTCGGCTGTTGCACGAATGGGCAGGAAGCGCAGTAGATGAAAACCACTTCACAACAAAGCTTTCAAAATTTTAATTGATTTTAAGTGTGGCGCGGTCGCCAAGGTCGGCTTCGGCGTCGGGGCTCGTGGGTTCGATTCCCACACGGGACAACTATTTGTGTGACCCACAGAAAGTTACGCATAAAAAAAACCAAGATAATGATATACTAAAGTAAGGGCAGTGTTTTTAAAAAAAATATTGGTAAGTCAATAGAATTAAAATTGAAATTTACAGTTATAAAAGTATTCTATTCAACACACACAAACAAACACCCAGATTCGAAACTACTATCTGTGTTTCATAGTCGTTCTGTGTGGGAATCGAACCCACGCATTTGTGGCAGGGCCACGCGACAGTGTTCGCTGTTGCACGAATGGGCAAGTCCGTCCGGGTGAGTACCACGACCTCACAGAAGACCGGCGTGAAGTAGAAGTGTTACACTTCTGCGTTTCGTCTGGTAAGTGAGGTAGCCGGGGCCCCCTGTTGAAATGTGGCAACGCGTCTGCAACCCAACGAATGTTGCAAATGTCCATGGGCGGTTATCACTAAACATCAGGTGAACCGCCAGCTCGTTCGTCACTTTGTCACATAAAAAAGTTTTTTAACAAAAAAGAACCGAGTTCAAATAAAATGATGTACTTACGTAACTATTACAAAGTTACATGAATATTTATGCGATAGCAGCAAACACGGTGTATTTCCCGTCATATATCGAAGAGTTCCGTTGCTGTCTTGCTTTCGTTGTTTCCGTGAAAATTATCAACAGATAATTTTTTTCACTTACGGTGGTAGGGCCACGCAGCAGCCTCGGCTGTTGCACGAGTGGGCAGGCCCGTCCGGGTAAGTCCCACGACCTCACAGAAGACCAGCGTAAAGTGGAAGTATGACAAATACTTTCGCGTTTCGTCTAGTGAGTGAGGTAGCCGGAGCTCAATATTCAAAAGGTTGTCAACGCATCTGTAACCCTCGGGTGTAGCAGATGTCCATAGGCGGCAGTATTCACTTAACATCAGGTGACCCGTCTGCTCGTTTGGCAACTATTCAATATATATGGGAAGAAATATATACAGCGTGTCTTTACCATCGCGACAATAAATGAACACACATATAGAGGATAACTTTTTAAAATTTTATTTCTAAATTTTCCAAAACAAAGAATTTTAGAACACCCTTACGTATAAAACTTTAATGTAAAGTTTATTTGTAAAGGTCACAAAGCATATGAATAGGTTGAATGAATTTAAAAGAGACAAAACATACTGTTAGAAGGAGAGGCTTGTAATGCGGCTATGTGGCAACGAATGAAAAAGTCTCTGAATGTATGAATCAGTCAGATGTAGTTGTATAGGTGTTACAAATTTTGTTTCTTTTTTACTTAATTCGTTTGTTTGAAAAATATTTTTTTTTAATTATGGATTTTTTTAACGTTAATATTTTTTTATGATTATTGGCAAGTAACGTTAGAAGTGAGTTCATTTATTGTCGCGATGGTAAAGACACGCTGTATGGGACCATTTCGGTTAAAGTTCAGTTTCGGGTTAATGAAACCCTTTCGAAGAAAAAAAGGATTTTGCAAATCCGTCTATATATGACGAAGTTACGCCCGAACATACATAAAAAAAATATAAACATTCTGATTGATAACCTCCTTTTTGAAGTCGGTTAAAAAACCAAGACCTTGGCAACTGCACCACGGAATCATCAAATTCGCTAACAAGTAATATGGATAATTTATGATATAACTACAAGCTGAAGCCGCTACTTATTATACACTGATAACATATTCAGATAACTTTAGGCTTCATTATCTACGTCGAGTATAATCCAAACAATTTATGGTTCTATGACTAGGGATGACCAAAGCGGTTATCGACATTTTAACCGACTACAAAAAGGAGGCGGTTTCTCAATTCGACAATATTCTCAATTATACAACCCTAAGAGTTAAAGTTGAGTAGTGACTTTCAAAGAACAGTAGAACTCAATATTGTTACGCCAAGCCAAGGCAAGCCTAGCCTAGTTTATTTGGATTAATATGTATATAATTTTTGGCTACACTATTGCTTTCGATCAGCGTGTAATGATAGTTGTGTTCGTGTGTGCGTAATGAATGATAAATTATACATTGTGTTCTAGCCTTGCATTGCAAAAGCTTGTAAATTTCGCTTCAGGATTGTCTGGTCATAGAGTCGGCCGTTCGCCACCGTTGTTTTATTATCTACATTTAAAAACGTCCCGTTCCTCTTTTGAATTAAATTTGAAGGTAGTACAAACAAATAAATAGTTATCTCGTGTTCATCGGTGGAAAAAACATTGTATGAAACCTGCATGTTTTCGAAATAATAAACTAGCGACGCGCCCCGGCTTTGCACGGGTGCAATGTGTTATACATATGAACCTTCCTCTTGAATCACTCTATCTAGTAAAAATAATGCATCAAGATCCGTTGCGTAGTTTTAAAGATCTAAGCGTACACATGGACAGAGAGACAGCGAGACGACTTTGTTTTTTACTATGTAGTGAAAAGTACTTCGTAGATAATATACTTATACGTAGATAATAAACTTAACATATTATGTTAAGTTTGAATTTGCAGTACGATCGCGGGATGGACAATTCAATCTAAACTAACGACATTTCCGTATTTGTCGCGAGGTTGCCGTTATTTCGTTAAATCTTATCGATGTTTTCGTTGCGTAAGCACTTCACTCGCCAGTAGTGGTGATTGTTCAGTCGGTCGCAGACGTGCACGTGATTGCTCCGTTAAATGGCCGACTTCCAACCAACTGGTATGTTTGAGTAACTACTTAATGTGGAACATCGACGGTATCCATCGTTGAAACTATCATAGGTCGGTCATATTGTCTGCGTAGGCGATATTTATTTACATTAGCGTCGGTTGACTTTAATATGAGCGGCAAATTTTGACGTTTGCATTACGAATTATGATATAGTGTTGTTTTTATATTAATTACGGGAACAGCGATATGGCATATGGCCTTCGGCCGATACGGGTATAATTAGTACAATGGCGAGACATTATTTTGTTAAAAATTGAGAAAAGCATCAACAACAATATTAACTCAATAATATTGTTTAATTGATCAGAATGTATAACGTTACCTTTTAGTGCTTACCTGTCCGATTACGCACACTAATGCGAGCTAAATAAATGGTTCAAAAGAATAAAAGTATATATAATCTATAAATAAATATAAATAATGATTTAAGAAATATATCATTAGTTTCATTTTCTTTCCTGATTTATCTTTTAACTTTAATGTATTACTGTATTCAAATATTACTTAAAACAGATATAAAACAAATTAGATGAATATCGTAAAAATGACATGAACACATCATCAAAAACGTGGTATAATAGATTTCGAACTGAAAGTAATATCTAACCTTTGATATTCAAGCAGATATCCTGTATTTAGATAGGTACAGATAAATGTTTATAACAATAAGCGTTGCCTAGCAACACCGCTATAAAACAAATTTTTCGAATAGATACACTCAATCGTAACAGTAAGTAATAAAGATTACTAAACAAAAATATAATCATAGGAATTGATACACAAATTTTTATACAGCGTGTCTTTATCACCGCGACAATAAATGAACACACGTCTAACGCTACTTACCAATAATCATAAAAAAATATTAACGTTAAAAACAATCCACAATTAAAAAAAATATTTTTCAAACAAACTAATTAAGTAAATATGAAACAAAATTTGTAACATCCTATACAACTACATCTGACTGATTCATACATTCAGAGACTTTTTCATTCGTTGCCACAGCGCCGCATTACAAGCCTCTCCTTCTAATATGTTTTGTCTCTTTTAAATTCATTCCACCCATTCATATGCTTTGTGACCTTTACAAATGAACTTTAAATCAAAATCAAAATATATATTTATTCAAATAGACGCTTGCGCGCTCTTATGAATCGTCAAATTTTACATCAAAGATTATGTGTATAGGTTCGTAAGGTACCACCGGTTCGGAAAGCGGTTTCTGTTGAGAAGAGACCGGCAAGAAACTCAACAGTTGCTCTTTTTCAATAATATCAGGGTACAATATAATATACATGTATAATAGTCTTATTCTAGCCTACGTGAGTATCAACAGTATTAACTCCACACATTGGCGTCGTCGAGATATTCCGAAATGGTATAATATGCTTTAACCATCAGTTGATTTTTCATTTTACATTTAAATTGGTCAAGCGGCAGACTTAATATTGACTGTGGGATTTTATTATACATGCGCACACTTTGTCCCATGAACGACTTATTTACTTTTTGTAGACGAAACAATGGCGTAGTAAGTTTGTCCTTATTTTTAGTGTTTATTTTATGTCTGTCACTATTCTTTAGGTAATAATTAAGGTTATGACGTGTATACAAAACATTACAATAAATGTATTGACAAGCAACAGTGAGTATATTAACCTCTTTGAAAAGATCTCTGAGTGAATTCCGGGCTCCGATATTGTAGATTCCTCGGACAGCTCTTTTTTGAAGAATAAATATAGAATTTATAGAATTACATTAAAGTTTTATACGTAAGGGTGTTCTAAAATTTGATAACTCGCTAAATATTGATGTTTAAAGAATGTAAATCTTTAATAAAATTTTAAAAAGTTATCCTTTATATGTGTGTTCATTTATTGTCGCGATGGTAAAGACACTACGTACACGCTGTATATAAAATTCTCGTGTCACGGTGTTTATAATTGAACTCCTCCGAAACGGCTTGACCGATTTTCGTGAATATTAGCGTGCATATGCGTGCGGCCAGGGTGGAGAATCGGACAACATTTATTTTTCATCCCCCTAAATGTTAAGGGTGGTCCATCTCTAATTTTTTTTTTCTATTTTTTATACAAAATGTTTTGTAATAATAATATAATAATAAAAATACATGCAACCCCAAAATTTACACCCCTCTACGCAGACGTAGTCGCGGATAGCAGCTAGTGTTAACATAAGTTTTCATTGTCTTTATCGTTTTACCTCGATTTCGTAGGCCGTTTATTTTTAAACTTAAAGCAAACGACGATGCATTAAACAGTTTTTCACCTTTTGATAGTGGCGGCCAATGATGTCTTAATAAAGATTACGCACGTCCATACTGACCGGCGTTTGAAAATTGTTCCACTTTACATTATACGACTTTATGTGAATGTGACAGATGATGTAGAACGTATGAAATGGAAAGAGATAGCAGTCTATAGAATTGCAATCTAATTACACCAACTGGTGTAATTTGAGTGCCTCAGTTTCGGCGCGCTAGTGTCGTATCTACCGCGTATTTGTATATAAGCGGTATAGAATGAAAAACTGGTTGTGTCCACCAATTTTCAAAAATGAGTTTCTCTTTCTTTTTTTTTCTCCTTCTTTCTCTTTCTTTTTTTTTCTCCTTCTTTCTCCTTCTTTTTTTTAAACATTGCCCTTACTTTAGGATAACTTTATCCTGTGTTGTAAGGACGTTTAACAAACATAAGTTTCACGTGGACAAACACCCAGATGCGAAACAACTATTTGTGGGTTACACAAATAGTTGTCCCGTGTGGGAATCGAACCCACGACCCCCGACGCCGAAGCCGATGCCTCGGCCACTGCGCCACGGAGTCATCAATCACATTTTTACACAACGTTCTCTAGTCCCAAACTAAGCAACGCTCGTACTATGGGCACAAATAACCGATAAACATACTTAAACATATCTTTTGTTTTGTAAACACATACATATTATACATATATAAACACCCAGACACTGGAGAAACACTATGTTCGTCACACAATAATTTTTCCAGTACTGGGGATCGAACCCACTACGCCGTCTAGCGATGAGCCATAATCGATATCATCTCCTCAGAACACCAGCACTTGAGGTACAACCCACTCAAGGACGAATGGATCCTAGTCTCGCCGCACAGATGCCTTCGACCCTGGAGCGGGCAGACGGAGGAGCCGCCAGATGACCCACCCCCCGACCCCAACAACCCGCTGAGAGCGGGCTCTGTTAGGGCCAACGGAAAGGTCAGTTGAGTTCTGCTCCTAAGAGGCATACAATAGTGACTCCACATTTTTTTTTTCTTACACCATCAAAATCGCATCAGCAAATTCTACACAATAGTATAAAGCATTAAGGACTACGACGCCTGATTAACAAAAGTACCCGGAGGAGGGTTTGTTTTTTTTTTGGTAAATCGTGTATTTTGGAAATTACATTTAGATACAAATTACTGAGTAATGAAATATGCATAATATTTTTCGATCTTACCGACGTAATATTAAGAAAATATGAACTGATGTTTTTCACAAAAGAAAGAACTTTAAAAAAAAGGGAAAAAAAAATAACAAAATAACAAATCGACAAAAAATTAAAAATAAAGAAAGCAATGATCTGGAATCGAAAAAAAAAAATGTGTAAATGATCGTGACGCGAACCACGGCCGTCTGTTTTGGGGCTGCCCGATTACCGACCGAGCTATTATGACATTTTCTCTTGCGGCGAAATTTACCGTCATATTCGAATTATATTTTTCATTCCCTGAAAACAGGGATAAAAGGACATTTTCTAAAAATGAAACCTAGCTAGATCGATTTTTCGCCCCCCAATCTACGCACATACTAAATTTCATGAAAATCGCGGGAGCAGTTTCCAAGATTCCGATTATATATATATATATATATATATATACAAGAATTGCTCGTTTAAAGGATAAAGATATCTAATCGTATATTTAATCACTAGCGTAAGTCACATAAATAGTTGTCCCGTGTGGGAATCGAACCCACGAATGATCTTCTCAGTAATCAGAATGATCAATTCAAAGAGTCTAACCATCCTTTTGGCAACTCAAATGACATTTGAAAAGCCATTTGACAGCTGATTAGTTGACATCTACGATGATCGGTGTTTCAGAAACCGGGCGTAAATGTTGCAACCAGCGTTATTTTTTTTTTGCATTTTATGGTATCAAGGACTTATAGCGTCAGCACCAGCATCCAGCGTTGGCATAATGGCGAATCGTTTTCAGCGCAACCCCGACTACACCTCTACCTACGTGTTCCCGAACGACTTTCCCGCGCTTCTTCAGGGCATACCCGGCCCCCCCGCCCCCGACCACCCCCTGTTCCAGGCCGCACCGGCGGAGGGCACGTGCAGGTGACTCGGGGTGCGGTCGTTTTAAGAAGTCGAACTTCTCTATATAAAGAATGTGATCGACTGTGGCAGGGCCACGCAGCAGCCTCGGCTGTTGCACGAATGGGCAGGCTCGTCCGGGTAAGTGCCACGACCTCACGGAAGACCGGCGTCAAGTGGGAGTATAACACTTTCGTGTTTCGTCTGCTGAGGTGGCCGGAGTCCAATCTTCAAAAGGTTGTCAACGCATCTGCAACTCTCGGGTGTAGCGGATGTCCATGGGTGGCGGTATTCACTTAACATCAGGTGAACCGCCTGCTCGCTTGGCAACGTTTCACATTAAAAAAAAATGAGAATGAATTTTTACGCGTGACCTACCTGTAAAGGGCACCAACCTTTTGAGATTACATACAATTCCTAGTTATTTACGTTCGGTTTCGAGATCATGTCTATGGATGGATTTGGTTACTAGCGATAGGTATTTGACATTTGCTCAATAATGTGCTCTATCTGTGGATCGGATGCGAAACTATTTGTGGGTCGCATATACAGGGTGGCTTTTCTAAAGGTGCCCAAATTCACACAGGAGGTTCAGACTCGATAGTATAATCGTTTATTGAAATAAACACAAACTTTTTATTATTTTTATCAAAAAAATTGCCATTTTTATTCCCTAACAAACAGAACTTGTTGACAATGCGGTAGTCATTCATAAATGCATCGTATACTTTTCAAACGAACTTGTGTGAACAGTTATGAATGAACGTAAAATAAATGAGTTGCCCAAAAATCACGCACTTTTTGATATAAGTTAAAATGAATGTATTTAATTAATTACGAATGATTTTAAATATTTATAATTTTTTATATAACATTATTTATCTCTAGAATTTAATTAAAAAAAATGGATACACTTAGAATAGCCCCCCTGTATAGTTATCCCGTGTGGGGATCGAACCCACTTTCGATCGAGCCAATACCTTAGTAACAGTTCCGCCAGGGATTCATTTTGTTTTATAAACATATTTGTACAACTAGAGCCGTGATAGCTCAGTGTCCGGGCGCTCGCCTTAAATTCAATATACTCGAGCAACCCGAGTTCAATCCCCGGCGTCAGCACCAGTGAAATTGTCAATTTCAAGTGCTGAATTATCACGTGCTCAGCGGTGAAGGAAAATATCGTGAGAAAACCTGCATATTTTCGTAATAATAACAAAAAAATATTACGAATATGTGTGAAGCCGCCAATCCGCAGTGGGGCCGGGGTGGACTATGCCCTGATACCCTCTGTACAGAGGAGGCCCAGCAGTGGGACATTTATAGGCTGATACTTTGCTTTTTTTATACAACTACATAATTTTGTTGCGGCCTTGTGACATTCTCTTCGCGAAAATAAAATACTGGTTAAACATATCAGAGACAATGCTTTCTTTTTCCAGGGTCATGTGCTTCCACCCGGATTCGGCCATGACGATACCGCTCATGTCCGTGGAGGAAATCCTGGCGGTAATAGACGAGTGCGTCTTTTGCTTATTTATTGTTGAAAAACATTGCCCTCACTTTAGGATAACATTATCCTGTTCACAGTAGACCATCACATCACAGGAGACCGAAGAGCTGGCAGCTACCTCGGACAAAAAATTTATAATTAAGGCCCATTTACACGATGCCATTTTCTTGTACATGCAAGAGCAATAATTGAATGCAATAAATTGCGCGCAATAATTGGTTAGACCATTTGTTGTTTAGACCATGCAACTAATTTTATTGCTTCAATTTAATTGTATACAACAGGCAAGAAACTGGCACCGTGTAAATGGGCCTTAATTGCATTGGTGTAAACAAAAGACATTTGCAATTATTTCTTGTCAAGACTTGCATTCAATAACCGCATTCAATTTTTTTTACTATATCTGCGTGTAAACTGTTGCTTACAATTCTTGATGGTCAATTATTGCGTGCAACTTATTGCATTGAATTATTGCTCTTGTATGTACAAGAAAATGGCATCGTGTAAATGGGCCCTTAGTCTAGCTATTCAAAGGGGGAACGCTGCCAGTATCTTTGGAACCTTTCCTAAAGGGACTCCTTTTAATAATATATTTTAGTTGTTATATTATATATTTTTGTAAGGTTTTTAGTTTTAGGTTCATTGTTGTAGTATAATTATATTTTGTATTAGTTTATCATTTGAATGTTATTTATGTTTGCTTATAGCCAGTTTGTTATTATGAGATCTGTCAATCAATAAAGTATTCAAATTTTACGGTGGTGGGGCCACGCAGCAGCCTCGGCTGTTGCACGAATGGGCAGGCCCGTCCGGGTAAGTACCGCGACCTCACAGAAGACCAGCGTAAAGTGGAAGTATGACAAATACCTTCGCGATCGTAACCTAACCCCTGCCCCCCCCCCCCCCCCCCTCAGGGCTACTTACTTTTTCAAAGAACAGTCGGCAACCCTATACGGGACCCTAAAACAACCACCGTCTCCCCCCTTCACGCAGGTGGGTGGCGCAGCTTAAGGAGCTGGGCCGCCGCTTCAAGTGGGTGCAGATCTTCGAGAACAAGGGAGCCATTATGGGATGCTCCAACCCCCACCCCCATTGCCAGATATGGGCGTCCGGTTTCCTGCCGAACGAGCCGCGCATCAAAGACAGGTATATCCTTACTAATCCTTACTAATATTATAAAGGCGAAAGTTTGTATGTATGGATGTTTGTTACTCTTTCACGCAAATACTACTGAACGGATTTTAATGAAACTCTACAATAATATAGCTTATACATCAGAATAACACATAGGCTATAATTTATACACATAATTTTATGTATATATGTCTTTCTGTCTGTATTTCTATGTCTTTTCGCCTTACCCTTTTCCCTGAACTGGATTGCGTAGAACAAGTAAATGTCTTATGGGAAAATGTATACGCTTTTACAACAAAATCCCTGAAAACGTTCAAAATTAATCTGTTGCTAAATCCAAAAAAAAACTTGTAAGGGAACGTTTGTGTGTTAATGGCCATTATAGTATTAGTGATTATTTGAATGATAACACACCATGGGAATGAATTGATCGCTCCAGGCTCTCAAGTGTAATTTAATATATTGCACACGTATTTGTTATTTCTTTGTCAAGTTAAAAAAAATTGTTAAATTTTTCCCACATTAGTTTGTAGATATTACATTATTTTAATTAGGCTATAAGTTTATGTTAAGAAAGCTGTGTCCACATGTAATTGTTGGAACATTTACGACTTATTTTTTTAATTGTTTTGCATCCTTAATGTGTCCAATGTTGGTGAACATTTATAAAAAAAATAAATAAGTAAAAATGTCCCGTTGAGTTTCTCACGCCGGTTCTTCTCAGGTCAGTGGCTTTCTTTCCGAACCTTTAGAAGAGTTTTTTTTACTATCAATAAGTAAGAGTAATGCTTCTATATTGAATAAATATATTTGAATTTGACATACCAATTAACGGCCGGTTTCAATATTCTATGTACTGAGAGATTAACGCCCGGTTTCTGAAACACCGATCATGGTAGAAGTCAACTAATCAGCTGTCAAATGGCTTTTCAAATGTCATTTGGGTTGCCAAAAGGATTGTTAAACTCCTTGAATTGATCATTCTGATCATTGAGAAAATCATTCGACGCGAAAATCTTCACATCTTTATACAGTCTTAAGTTTCATCTTGACCGCTGAGACGGCCATTTTAAATCCAACATGGCTGCCGCCGCAAACTCGCGATTTATGTTTTTCTATTTCCACAATTCTCTTTTGTATGTATGTGTGAAAAGTTTCCAAGTGACAAGTTCACCCGATGTTAAGTGAATACCGCAGCCCAGGGACATCTGCTACACCCGCGGGTTTGTAGATGCGTTGAGAGCCTTGTAAAAAGTGGGCCCCGGCTGCCTCACTCGACAGACGAAACGCAAACGTGTAGCACTTCCCCTTCAACGGTGTTCTGTGAGGTCCTGGTACTTACCTGGTAGGACCTGCCCATTCGTGCAACAGCGAACACTGTTGCGTGACACTAAGACAGTCAATCATATGATATGGGTATATAATGAAAGCGCTCTATTTTTAATAACAGCTCGTGAAAAACCTCTGTTCTGAAGTAATGCATCTTTACGCACGCTTGACTTTGAGAGTTGTTGAATGCGTGACGACAGCGTTACGAAAAGTGTGATGTTACGCGAACGGTGATTTCTCGTTTATTTCGTAATTTCATTTCGTATTCGGACAATTTTTGTAAATTAAATTTTGTTAAATACATTAAATATTCTACGTTTGAATTGAATAAAATTGTAAATTCATACAGATAGAGATACAGATTACATATAGATGGGGCTAAAGAAGATTTACTTCAGTCGTGAGGTCGAAAGCACCCTCGTTTTTTTTTTTAAGTTAAGTTTGTATTTAAAAATATTAACAATGAAATTATATTTAGATGTCAAAGGGAATATTACAAAAAGCACGGAACGAACATGCTAGCAGATTACGTTCAGGAAGAGTTAAAGAAAAAGGTAAGTTTAAACGAATTTCAACCCAATTTGCGTAGTGGACAGTGACCCCGCCGCGCCAGACGGTGTGGGTTCGATCCCCACTACTGGAAAAATATTGCGTGTCGAATGCAGTGTTTTTCTAGCGTCTGGGTGTCGATATATCTATAATATTTATTTATTGAAGGTATACTTTTTTATGCGCGTTATGAAAAATTATGAGAGTGAAATTTTAAGATACATGTATCACTGTAACACAAAAGTCACACCTTTGAAGCTGCCCGCTAAATCACAAAACTGCTAGAAGTCAGCATATTTTCAATCACATTCGCCCGTTACAGTTCTCGATAATGAACGTAGATGGCGCTTTCATAATTTTTATTATTTATATCCTTTTCCAGTCTTTTTTTTTAATTTTTATTGTAATTAATTATTTGCATGCAATTAAAAAATATTTTTTAATGATGCCAAAGAAGTATTAACTTCTCACGCGCGTATACAGGATGGCTTTTCTAAGTGTATCCATATTTTTTTATTAAATTCTAGACATAAATAATGTTATACAAAAAATGATAAATACTTAAAATCACTCATAAGTAATTAATTACATTCATTTGAACTTATCTCAAAAAGTGCGTGATTTATGGGCAACTCATTTATTTTACGCGAAGTCAAATAATAATGGACATCAGACACCACACGTTTACGATGGCTCAATAGCGCCGTTGCTAAGCTGTCCGCTTCGGCGTCGGGGTGGTGGGTTCGATTCCCGCACGGGACAAGTGTTTGTATTAGATACAGATAATTGTTTCGCATCTGGGTGTTAGTTACCCAAGTTGACGTCAGACTGAGCGAGACGATTTTTGATGATTCATTTTTTATTTGAAAGCTGGTGCTTCCCATGTGGCTTCCCATATTAATTTCATTGGTATTGGATCTTGGGCTCTGGAGATACGTAGGGAACTCGTGAAAATCAATTATAAAATGAATACAGAGCGAGATATTTCAAGTCGGTTTTGTTTTTCGTTAGTAAAAAAATTTTTACTACCCGACGTTTCGAACCCTTTCCAGCGTTCATTGTCTATGGAATAGGATTCGTCTGTACATTTTTTTTTAATGTGAGAAAGTGGCAAACGAGCTGGCGGTTCACCCGATGTTAAGATAACCGCCCGCCCATGGACAATTGCAACACCCGTAGGGTTGCAAATGCGTTGCCACTTCTTAATTAAGTGGGCCCCGGCTACCTCACTCACCAGACGAAACGCGGGAGCGTAACACTTCCACTTGACGCCGGTCTTCCGTGTGGTCGTGGTACTAACCCGGACGGACCTGCCCATTCGTGCAACGGCAAACGCTGTTGCGTGGTTTTGGCGAGTTTTGTCTATGGTTTAAGAATGTTTGTCTATGGTTCAAGAACTTTTGTCTACGGTCTCAGAGTTTTTGTCCATGGTTTCAGGAGCGTATAGTGATTGAGAACTCTGAATGGGTCGCCCTGGTGCCTTACTGGGCGGCGTGGCCGTACGAGACCATGGTGCTGCCGAAGAACGGCCGCACGCAGAGGATGTCAGACCTGAGCGCAGAACAGAAGAGAGGATTGGCGGAGATAATGAAGCATCTGAACACGAAATACGACAACCTGTTCCAGTGCAGTTTCCCATACAGCATGGGCTGGCATGGTATGAATGACATTTACATTTTTAGGGTTCCGTGCCCAAAGGGTGAAACGGGACCTTGTTACTAAGACTCCGCTACCTGTCTGTCCGTCTGTCACCAGGCTGTATATCATGTACCCAGATAGTTAATTGAAATTTGCACAGACGGTGTATTTCTGTTGCCGCTATAACGACAAATACTAAAAAAAAAAAAGTGTATGCGTATAACCTTTACGCGCGATTGAAGTAAAACTTCTTTGGCGTTGACGGCATATATCACTGAAATTATTAAATATTAACTTAAATAATAAATATCATATTACAATTTAATTATATTTATTATTCATGTGCTTTACAAAGATTATTCAAATGTTATATTAATATTAAATTATTCATTCGAAACAGAATACTTGAATGTCATCATAATCTCTTACGTATGAAATTATGATGACGTTACTTCCGTCAAAAAACAAAAATCTGAGTTACTCCCCAGTCGCGCCTAAAGAAGTTTTACTTCAAAAACAATAAAAAAATATTTCAGTTGGGTTTCCATGCAACGGACAAGATTTTTTAGCCGTTTTTGTAGATAATGGCTCGGAACCCTTCGTGCGTTAGTCCGACTCGCACTTGGCCGGTTTTTTTATTTTAATTTTTTGCGCCTCACAACGAGTAGGAATCGGCAATGTTTCGCGTCCCTAAGCGGCCGACGGATCAAATCTGCTACTGACAAAAGTAATCTTATGGCTAAAGCATATTATACCATTGCGGAATATCTCACCGACGCCAATGTGTGGAGTTACTACTGTTGATACTCACGTAGGCTATAATATGAATAATATTTTTATATCTATGTTACTAGCGTCCCGCCCCGGCTTCGCATGGGCGTAATGCTGAAACTTAATATACTCTACTATGTTTCTCTACTATATTATGCATGTATTATACATATAAACCTTCCTCTTGATTCACTCTATCTAATAACCGCATCAAGATCCGTTGCGTAGTTTTAAAGATCTAATTATACATGGGGACAGACAGACAGTGGGACGACTTTGTTTTATACTATGTAGTGATTTGATGAATGATTGTAATCAGATATTTAAAAAAAAAAAAGAGCAGCTGTTGAGATTCTTGCCGGCCTTTTCTCAACAGAAACTGCCTTCTGAACCGGCGGTAACTGGCGAACTTGTGTATTAATTATTTATGTCAACTTCACTTAACATCAGGTGAACTGCGAGCTCGTTTGCCACTTTCTCACATCAAAAAAAAAAACATGAGAATCGCTTCAAATGCACACTTCGAATGCCAAAAAACAATGTAGACAAAAGACATTAAGATGTTCGTTGGTGCGGCAATCGGCCGTTTAGCTTAGTGGCTGGAGCGTCTGGCCGTGAATGCTGTACACGCGGGTTCGATTCCCCACAGCGGCGACAATCTTTTCGTAATTTTTTTTCCTACAAACTTTAACGAGAGGCGGTTATCACTGAGCCACGCAGCAGCCGCGGCTGTTGCACGAATGGGCAGGCCCGTCCGGGTAAGTGCCACGACCTCACAGAGGCCCGGCGTAAAGTGGACGTATAATACTTTCGCGTTTCGTCTGGTGAGCGAGGCGGCCGGAGCTCAATTTCCGAAAAGGTTGTCAACGCATCCGCAAACCATCGGGTGTAGCGGATGTCCGTGGGCGGCGGTGGTCACTAAACATCAGGTGAGCCGTCTGCTCGCTTGGCAACTTCTCACATTAAAAAAAAAACATTAGCTCAATAATACCTGTTGTCAAAATTCTAATAAGTAATTCTTGTAGTAACCAAATCTGTCACTGACATGACACTGGCAGAATTCTTTTGAGAGAGGCCACTAATCAAAGAAGAAGAAGAAGAAGAACCATATCTATCTGTAGAAAAAATATAGGAACTCTACGGTGGTAGGGCCACGCAGCAGCCTCGGCTGTTGCACGAATGGGCAGGCTCGTCCGGGTAATTACCACGACCTCACAGAAAACGGGCGTAAAGTGAAGGTATGGCAGATATTTCGCGTTTTCTAAAAAGAATCTGCCATACCGATTGAGGATTTCATCCGTTGGCTGCCATGGCCAGTGGTGGCCATGGCAGCCAACAGATTTTTGCCATGGCCAATGGTCAGGGCAAAATCTGTCCCTGACACGAGAACCGCTGTCCATATCAGGCGCCCCTACCGGCCCCTGCACATCCAGCGGGGACTCGCCCCACTGGCTGTTGCACGCGCTCTACCTGCCACCGCTGCTGCGCTCTGCCACCGTGAGGAAGTTCATGGTGGGCTACGAGATGCTCGCGCAGCCGCAGCGGGACCTCACGCCCGAGCAGGCGGCCGCACGCCTCCGCGGCTGCGACCATCTGGTGCACTACAAGAATAGAAAGAACGCCAAACAATAAATGTTTTCTTTTTTTGGTTGTTGTTTTTTTTTCTGTACTCGGCCAGCAACACCCAGGCCCGAACAATAAATGTTTTCTTTTTTGGTTGTTGTTTTTTTTCTGTGTTCGGCCAGCGACACCCTTATCCTTACTTCCTTACTAATATTATAAAGGCGAAAGTTTTTATGTACGGATAGATGTTTGTTACTGTTTCACGCAAATACTACTGAATGGATTTTAATGAAACTACAATAATATAGCTTGTACAATAGAATAGCACATCCTTACATTCTTACTAATATTATAAAGGTGAAAGTTTGTATGTACGGATGAATGTTTGTTACTGTTTCACGCAAATACTACTGAATGGATTTTAATGAAACTACAATAATATAGCCTAAACATCAGAATAAGACATAGGCTATAATTTATATACATATTTTATGTACATCTGTCTTTCTACCTGAATGTTGCGCCTTCTGCCTATTTTGCGCAGACGTATTCGCGGGCAGCAGCTAGTATTATTATAAAGGCGAAAGTTTGTATACATGGATGGATGTTTGTTACTCTTTCACGCAAAAACTACTGAATAGATTTTAATGAAACTACAATAATATAGCTTATACACCAGAATAACACACGGTCTATAATTTATTAAGATATTGTGTGAATTGTCCAAAATATCGGTAATGATAAGTCACAACTAAGAAGGAAAAAATTCCGCCATCGGCAAAATATTCTGGTGTATAATAAAGACTCATTGTTAATTCCCTTTGGCCGCAGAAAACAGCTAGTTATAAATAATAAAGGCTCTTTTATTTACCTTGACATTCATTTTTTAACTTGATTGAATATAAGAACTATACTAAGATGATTTCACTGATATTGTACTAAGAATATTAAGTATTAACATACTAGCGGACCCAACAGACGTCTTGTTCACATGACTTAAATCAGACAACTTATTAATAAAAGAATTAAAAAAAATGTAGTGCACTGAATTGTGAATCTAAACCATTCTCGAATCCACCTGAAGACAAAAAATCTGATTAAAATTCGTCCAGCTGTGTAAGAGTTCAGTGACATACACACGAACAGAAGAATAATTTATATATATACAGCGTGTCGTTCCCATCGCGACAATAAATGAACACACGTCATAAAAAAATAATCATAAAAAAATATTAACGTTAAAGAAAATCCATAATTAAAAAAAAATATTTTTCAAACAAAGTAATTAAGTAAAAAAGAAAGAAAATTTGTAACATCCTATACAACTCGCGCCACAGCGTCGCATTACAAGCCTCTCATAACAGTATGTTTTGTCTCTTTTAAATTCATTCAACCCATTCATAAACTTTGTGAACTTTACGTTACGCTTTTATAGGTGAGGATGTTCTAAAATTCTTTGTTTTGGAAAATTTAATAACTCTGTACATATTGATGTTTAAAGAATTTAAATGATTAATACAACTTTAAGAAGTTATCTCCTATATGTGTGTTCATTTATTGTCGCGATGGTAACGACACGCTGTATAAAGTTTAGTACCCCGAGGACCGAGCTTTGCTCGGTTTTTTTTTTTGGTAAATCGTGTATTTTGGAAATTACATTTAGATACAAATTACTGAGTAATGAAATATCCATAATATTTTTCGATCTTACCGACGTAATAATAAGAAAATATGAACTGATGTTTTGCACAAAAGAAAGTACTTTAAAAAAAACGGAAAAAAATAACAATTCGTAAATGATCGTGACGCGAACCACGGCCGTCTGTTTTGGGGCCGCCCGATTACCGACCGAGCTATTATGACATTTTCTCTTGCGGCGAAATTTACCGTCGTATTCGAATTATATTTTTCATTCCCTGAAAACAGGGATAAAAGGACATTTTCTAAAAATGAAACCTAGCTAGATCGATTTTCCGCCCCCGAATCTATGCACATACTAAATTTCATGAAAATCGCGGGAGCTGTTTCCGAGATTCCGATTATATATATATATATACAAGAATTGCTCGTTTAAAGGATAAGATGCACATTTGTGTAGTCAAGGCCCCCGGCGAAATATAGGCCTCCTCCAACACTGCAGATTTTTCTTGTTTTTGCTTTCTATGTGTAATCGTTTCCAGCCTATTTTTTTTAACTCGCTAACCCCTCGTTCTTTCGAACGGAATTTAGCGCTCTTACCACTTGGACTTGCCCAAATAGTCAAATTCAAATGAGTCCATTTTTCACTTGACGGTCGTGCTACGTGGCCGCCCTACATCCACTTAGCTTTCTCACATGTTCTAGAGCATCGTACATAACATTTTACTCGTTTATTAGACCAGTAACTACGTCGCAAACTTGAAATCGGTCAAGAATAGCCTTTTTTATGACAGAAAATTACGATAGTGCAAAAGCTCTTTCTAAAGCCTGACTGTTCTCCGGTTTGGTGCGACTCTATGTCCGACTATTCTCTTATTTAAGCAGGCCACAAGTAATTTGTCTTTAACAGGAAGTAGGCTAAAAAGGCCGATAGTTCTTCATATCTGTCACCTTTCCGCTAAAGAAGCATGATTCGCGATTCCGCCAAATTCAAAGGTACTTTTTGTTCTCTTAAGATTTTATTGAAAAGATTTCAAAGGGATCTAGCCGGTATGAATTTTCCTAGTTTGAGAGCTTCGTTGGGTATGATATCATGGCAGGGACTTTTTTCTTGTTTGTCTCATTATTTCCATTTCTTCGAACGGTTTTTTTGTTGGAGATGGTAATATTGTCCCTGAATCCGAAGATAATTTTTGCTTGATCTATCATTTAAAATAAAGATAAAAGTGGCGTATTATTAATAGAGTACCTGGAGTTTTTTTGGAAAATCATTTATTTTGGAAATAAAAAAATAAAAAATTGTTTTACTTTTTTTTTCTGAGAAAAAAAAGGAAAACCAATTGCTCATTAAAAGATAACATATACAGCTTAAACTTTTATTCCAGATTTTATCAAGTTCGGACAGTTTAGCTTGGAATTTTTGAAAGAATCATTTCCTTTATTCATTTTTGCTCCAGGTGACAAGAGGATCGTTTCTTTTCTCGTTCAAAGGGTAATTGTACCTACTAAGCGGAAAATGCAGCTAGCTTTATTACTTATAATTTTTATGTTATTTTTTATACACTGTGAATATCTTTCGTTATTTAATAAATAAAAATACTATGTCAATGTAATCTAAATGTTTAAAATGCTAAAAATCTATTACAATAGTTACTAAAAGCAAATTAAAATGGTTGGTGTTAGTTATATTAAACTATACTTATAAACTTTTGTAAACAAAATAATCTAGAGAGAATAATCATTTTTTTTATGAACATGAACAAAACATGACGAAAAACAAAACCGACTTGAAATATCTCGCTCTCTATTCTAATTTAATTTTATAATTGATTTTCAAGAGTTCCATAAGTATCCCCGGATCCCAAAATCTAATGAAATTAATATGGGACCACGTGGAGAGCACCAGCTTAAAATATATAAAAAATAAATTTTCGTCAAAATGGTAATAAACATAAAAAAAATACAGTCGAATTGAGAACCTCCTCCGCTTTTGAAGTCGGTTGAAAGAAGTTAGTAAATAACTTACTATTACTTATAATATTTTTACCGAGTAATCTATTTAAAATGCTTATAATAATTATCACTTAGGTAAATAAATACATTTTTCAAAATAAATCTCAAAGCTCTTTGCGGCTAAGCTCGATCTAATTAAGTGTGGCTAAATCGCTAGATTCCATAGAAAAGCTTTACAATGTCAAAGTTAACACAAAATACGGACAAAATGGCCGAAGGAAAGGAATAAAGTTTCCATTGCTTGTAAAAATTTTTGTTTACAACCCAAGTCGATTGTGCTTAAACAATGAAGGAAATTAACATAAACATTGAGGGTTACAATGTTAACGGAATATGCGTCGGCTGTCTTAATTATAATAGAAAAATGTTTTATTGCGAAGAAGTTAAAGAGTTTTTTAAAGTTTGGGCAAATATTGATGTAAGTACAATTAATTAATAAGGCATAAAAGTTTTAGCAAAGAGAATATTGTTTGTTAAGTAGGTACTATTATAAAATGTGATATACCAGTCACAATTCACAATTAGTTTGGAATTTTCGACAGAACAAAAAACCTTGGATCCGTCATTATTACGTTATTTTTAAGAAACAATTATTCCAATTGACTCATAAGTATAAACAATATTCTTATCAGTTTTGAATTAAAAAAATTTTATTGCCTTCAATTTATTTAAACTCTAATTTATTCAATTTGTAGTTTCAAGAATTTTTTTCAAAATGCTAATAATTTATGTTGATGTAAGAATTAAAATCACAATAATTGTTTTTCGTTGTGGATTTTGATATATTTTAACCTGTTATGCAAAAAAAATCTCAACAAATAATGAGACAATTTTAAAATTAAAAAAATTGTGTTAAATGCTGAAATCTGTTTCTACATACTTGTGGAAAATGGAAAATGGAAATACTATTTCTACAAAAACTTAATCAAAAAATAAAATAGTTTTACTATAAACAAAGTAATCATATTTATTGTGATAGAATGTACATTCTGCAGACAGTTCTAAATGTATCAAAAATATCTGACTTTTATTAATGACCTTCTATTTATTAGGTTCCAGATGGCTTATCCATTCAGGTTTGCTGGGAATGCCTTGCTGCAGTAAGGTCTGCATTCCGCTTCCGTGCTCAAATTTTATCTGCATTTGATGTCCTCATTGATTACTCGAGACAGGTTAGTAAGGAGACAGAATGGCATTGTCCGTAGTAACTTCACTTTTGCTGGAATGGTATTATACTTCTTTATAAGAGTGAATGAGGAGGAAGAGTATGGGTTTCATCCATGGATAACTACGACTATGAGATAAACCCTCACTCGTAAAAATAAAATTAATAAAAGCTCAAAGTATGCATGAATAACGTTAGTATGCATTAGTTTTAGTTTTGTTATATTATAGAGTTTATTATATTTATGATGATTTGTTTGAGTTTATTTCGCTAGATAGTTATGATAATATTTTATTTGAGGTGTTAGGTAATAATTTTTCTTAATAAATATTCAATTGCTTATTTTGCCGTTTCAAGCTTGTCACTGAAAATTTTGTAAACCCTTGACGTCTGATGTAAATATATATTAATATTCGTTTAAAATTTATATCAACATATATTTACATCAGAGAGCGTTTATTATGTTAAAGTCAATTTGTTAACTGAGTCCTTACTCAAGGTTAGGTTGGCAATAAAGATTTAATAAAAAAGATAAAGAAAGAACTTTGAGAGGGAGGGAGAAATGAAAAATATAGGAACGCCCAACAGAAACGTCATTGCACTTGGTTATGAAATATCATATATTTGTCAAGAAGCATCATGTCTGTTGAGTACAAGTTTTGTAATTAAATCCTTGCATTCTTCAGCACACATTCTTGAATTCACCGAGTGATCTGTCGAAACACGCGACCAGCCGACTCTCCGTCACTCCTCTGGACGTGGAGCCATCGTTCCACCCGCTGAAGGAAGAAGAGCCTATACACATTGATGTTGATGTCATAAAAATCGAAGAGGATGTTGGTAAATACAGTACAATTGAAATCGGTGAGTATATAATGTATGGAGAACAATTTTGTGGGAACATCACAACAAACTAAGTCACAGAACTGTGTGTAGTTTTTATAAAGTTATTAATCTTTAGCTTGTTTTGTTAAGCTGTTGGTTAAGCAGGGTAGACGTAATCCATGCGGCTGTTTGTACAAAAAGTAGCCGATAGCATTAATTATATAATTCACATGTTGTGACCCTTAATCGGATAAAGACGAGAAGGAAGATTTTTTTGTTAAATCTTTTGTAGAAAAATAAAGACGTCGGTTCGACTCCCACTGCGTCGAAGAACTTTTCGTTCCATTTTTCTATAAAAAAAATGATGTTTAATCTTGAGTGCAGAGATTAGCACTATAAAAATTTTCATTTGTAAAAAGCAATCGACATTCGAAATTGTTTGTATGCTGGAGAGGATATAACAATGGATGCGCGAAGCATTGGGTCAAATGCTAAACAAAACAATGTAGATATAGGACATTGAGGATTTCGTCGGTGTGGCAATCAGCCGTTTAGGTTAGTGGCTAGAGCGTCAGGGCTCGAATCCCGAAGTGGGTTCGATCCCACGTCGGCAAAAACTTTTCGCTCCTTTATTTTCTACAAAAAATTTAATGTTTAATCTTAAGTGCAGAGATTAGCGCTGTAAAAAAATTTAAAATAGATTTTTTTGTTCACAATGTGTCCATCTTCTAGATTGTCAAAGTTCAGAGCCTCAGTTCATTGAGACAACACAGTCGCCCAAGAAAGAAGACGGAGCGTGAGTGCCTTCATTGATGAGATTGACTTCGTAGAGGATATAACAGCCCACGATCAGGACGCGTCGGACGACGACATCCAGCTGTCGAAACTAAAGGCAAAGAAGAAGAAAGGGAGAAAGAGTAAAAAGGAGAAGAAAGAGAAGAAGCAGAAAGATAGTGTTGTGAGTTTCGGACATTTATTTGTATTATTTTCAAAATAATTATTCTGGGGTGTTTGTGCAATTATTTTATGTAAAACATACTGTATAATTCCCCTAGTTGATGAAGTATTTGTTAATAAACGGTATCTTATTTTACAGAATAATATTTAGTTTACTTCACTATCTTTTATTAATACAAATTGTCACTTTAAAATGTGAATTTTTGAGAGTGGTGGCTACTACTAAAAATAAAAATTAATGCTAAATAATATCACGTCCTCTGCGGTGAAGGAAAACATCGTGAGGAAATCTGCATTATTTTCGAAATAATAACAAAAAAAATTTTTCGAAGATATGGGAAGTCTGTCAATCTGCAGTGGGGCTGCCAATCTGCAATTCTGCAGTGGGACTATGCCCTGATACCCTCTGTATAGAGGAGGCCTTTGCCCAGCAGTGGGACATGTATAGGCTTTGCTTTACTTTTTAATGTCAATAGAATGCGTTATCATACATTGGATAAAATAATTTATTTTAATCAAAAATTAACTTTATTTGTCGTCAACAGCGGCAAACTGTGTTCCTCATTTCAAACAAGTTATAAAATTGTGTTTTTATAAGAACATTGTCAATTCTCAATTCGAAATCTCCTCCAGGAGCATAAGGAAGCGGAGCAGGCCCTCAAAAAGTCTAGGAAGCTGAAGAACCTACCGGAGGACCTGGTGGAGCTCTACGAAATGACAGAGGAGGAGATGTGGAGAATGAGAGCGGAGGACGTTGCCAGGAAGGAGTTTGTGGCACTCAAGTACAAATGCAACGATTGCATAATTGGCTTCAACACTGAGAAGCTCATGAAATATCATATGAATGGGAAACATGTTCCGGTAATTTCTACTATATTAGTTAGTCCCTAAATGTGCAGAACAAAGAGAAATCGACAAAACATAATGTTAAAAAGGTGATTTTTTTTTTTGGGCTTGATGAGCCACTGTTGGCCTTAGGGGCCTTTACAGTTCCGACGGGCTTGAGGTGGCCTGGCGCTCGAGGCGCCTAGCCTGAACCTCGGCGTATTATTATTACGCGTTATGGTGACTAAGCTCGAGGGCTCCCGAGGGAGCCTCGGCTCGGGCCGTCACGCTATTATTATTACCGGTTTGGGAGGCCGCCAAGCTCTTAGGGCGCTTTGGCGGGCGCTCCATGGAGTGATCAGGCTCAAGGGTCCCCGAGAGGGGACCTCGGCTTGGGCTGTCACTCAGCCCGCGTTTAGCATTCCGATTCGAGGGTGCCCGAGAGGGCCGGACCTCGGCTCGATCGGTAGCTGTTATCTGACTGGGAAAATGTGATATGAAACTGTCAATATACAGCGTGTCGTTACCACCGCGACAATAAATGAACACACATCAAACGCTACTCGCCAATAATCATAAAAAATATTAACGTTAAACAAAATCCATAATTAAAAAAAAATATTTTTCAAAGAAACTAATTAAGTAAAAAAGAAACAAAATTTGTAACATCCTATACAACTACAACTGACTGATTCATACATTCAGAGACTTTTTCATTCGTTGCCACAGCGTCCCCACCCATACAAGTACAAGCGTTGCTTATTTTGGCTAGAGAACATTGTGTATAAATGTGTCCTAAAAATGTTTAAAAAAAATGAAAAATTTATAAATGGAATCCGCTCTAAGAACATTACGCGGGTATTAAGAACATGATGTAGTAACTTAGCAGAATTCCAATACAATTGGCCACTGACTCCAATATTCATAGAAAAGCCGCTGCGGTCGAGGCATGCGTTGACATAACGCTTAATTCGCTCGGTTATTGTCATCCTTGTCGTGTTTTTTTTTATTTGACTTATTCGCAAACGAGCTGGCGGTTCACCTGATGTTAAGTGATAACCGCCGCCCATGGACATTTGCAACGCCCCACGCAGTGTTACAAATGCGTCGCCACCTTTTAAAAAAGTCGGCCGCGGATACCTCACTCGCCAGACGAAGCGCAGAACTGTAACACTACCACTTCACGGCGGTCTCCGTTTAGGCCGCGGCACCCATTCGTGTAACAGAGGGGACCGTCGCCTCCGCCGAACCGAGTCGGGAGCATACTCATGCCAACGGTGGTTCCACAACCGTACACCGCAGAAGAGCGAGGCGAACGTCCAGTGCGACGTGTGCAAGGCGTACTTCGTGACGAGGGACAACGTGTCCGCGCACCGGGCGCTCCACCGCGCCGCGTACCGCTGCCGCGGCTGCGGCGCCTCCACCACGCTCAAGCACGCGATGCGGATGCACGCGTGCGCGCGCGGCTCCGCCCCGGCCCACGCCTGCGCCATCTGCGACAGGGAGTTCAGGTGGGCACATGTTCGCAAGTTCACGTTCGCCTTCAACAAGTACACAATCGTCTTGACCAGTTTCACGTTCGTCTTTACAGGTTCACGTTCGCCTTCACTAGTTCACGCTCGCCTTCACTAGTTCACATTTGCCTTCACAAGTTCACGTTCGCCTGAACAAGTTCACGTTAGCCTGAACAAGTTCACGTTCGCCTGAACAAGTTCACGTTCGCCTGAACAAGTTCACGTTCGCCAGCACTAGTTCACATTTACCTTCACAAGTACTCATTCGACTTCACAAGTTCACATTCAACTTCACATTTAACGGTGGTAGAGTAACGCAGCAGCCTCGGCTGTTGCACGAATGGGCAGGCTCGTCCGGGTAAGTACCGCGACCTCACAGAAGACCGGCGTAAAGTGGAAGTATGACAAATACTTTCGCGTTTCGTCTGGTGAGCGAGGTAGCCGGAGCCCAATTTCCAAAAAGGTTGTCAACGCATCTGCAAACCCTCGGGTGTAGCAGATGTCTATGGGCGACGGTGTTCACTTAACATCAGGTGAACCGTCTGCTCGTTTGGCAACTTTTCACATAAAAAAATAAAAAAACATGTTCACATTCAACTTTGCAAGTTCACATTCGCTTTCACAAGTTCATATTTGCCTTGAACCTCGAACTTGTACGCTGAAACCCTTTCTATCCCCATTACTAGAAAAATATTGTGTGTCAGACAAGCCTATTTCTAGTGTTCATATATCTCTTATGTATGTTTATTTACTAAAGAAAAGTATGTTTAAGTTTGGAACTACATAATGTTGTGTTGTAACATGTCTCGAAATAATAAATTAATGTTATCATTTATATCAGGGGTGAGCAACCTTTTTAATCAATGGGCCAATTTTAATTTAAAACTTTTTTGCCGGGCCGCAGATAATTATTTACGAAACTTTTTTATAATAAATGTTAATGCAAGGTAAAAACAAACAAGAAAAGAACAGAAAAACTAACAAAAAATATTTCGGCTCAGTATGAAGGTACTACCATTTTATTATAATTAATTTCATAACAATATATTGATGGGAGAAATTCGATAAAATTAATTCAATTTTAGAAACGCTTAGCGGGCCGCATAAAAATGTTTAACGGGCCGCGCGTTGCTCATCCTTGATTTATATCATTCAATGTTTTTCTTTGAGTTACCTAGGCGGCGGTTTCTGTTTTAAATTTGATCGATTTCAAACCTAATTACCTCGGGTTACAGCACGAAATCGAAGCTGACGTACCATCGGGGCGTGTGCCACCAAGAGCGGCCGCAGTGCGACTGCTGCGGGAAGGTGTTCGCCAACAAAATGACCCTGAAATACCATCTGAAGTGAGCCCACGTATGCCAGAAAGACTAATCTTTAAAGCTGAAACTAATATTAATTACCTCATGCTAAGCGGTTTGCAATTTTTTCGTGCCCAATTTTTCTCATTCGTGTCGAATGGAGGAAAATTTGAAAGGCGTATGCCCAACGGTGGGCGAACACACGCTGAAAAGGAAGAAGTGGTTTCCGTCACCCATGGACTTCCATGTCACCCGATAAGTCGGAGATGTGTTGCCAACATTTATAAAACGCCACTCACCAAACGAAACGATATAATATCACCAATTCCACCAGATAATTTTTAATTGATTCCACCAATTGTAACATCATAAACGCGAATGATTCTCGCCGCTGGGCTTATAAAGCACGTAATATAAGTGAGTCACATCAATCGATGTACACTTTTGTTACGTGTTGTAACTCGCACCCCCGCTTTATTGTGTATATATAATTATAACTTATCTATTTTTTCCTCCATTATATGAATAAATCATATAACATCATTACGTGACCAGGATAAATTATTGATCTTTCTATAGGATCTTTCTAAAGGTAATAATTAGCCGTATAAATATTATTGTGATCGTCATGTTCGGTAGGACCTTATTTACGTTGTGTTTATTTAGTAACTTGATTCTTTTAAGTGTATCTTGGATAGATAATTATTCACTAGTCGTGGTATAAGCCAAAGATAATGCCAATGAAAAGGGCTCACATCAATTTTACATACCCGATACAAGTCAACAGCTCCCCCACATTTAAAAAAATGTAGGGAAGGCACACGGCTCCATGAAAAACACTCACCAACGCCGTGTGCGGTGAGCGCCAACCAACATATTGCGCCCCCCCCCCCCCCCCCCCCCCCCCCAGAAGAGGGACAAAAAGTTGGGGAAAGGACCGAAGTCCATTGCAAAGCTGTTTTACCAGCATAAAGAGGGCTTGGCCCCTTGGCAGTGCGTAAGCACAACTTTGACCGAAGTCGCGCATGTCAATGCGTGTAAAACGTCATACAAGCCGACGACAAATCTAGTCTTCGTGAATGTACGTCAATACGGTTTTGGGCATGTGTTAAAGATCAGGCACTCTGGCCCTATGATATATAAGCCCTCCGTAAGCGCCACCACTTTTGCCAGATCGCCGCGACTGCAGACGTGATTGTTAGTGTTTTGGCATCACCACCATTAAAAAGGTTAGCACGACATTTCGTCGCAGAGCGCGTTATGAGTCACTGCTCACCCCAAGGGTATGGTTAAAACGTTGCACGGCATCGCCGCAGCCTTGAGAGGAGGTTTTCTCCCGCCAGCTACCATCCACATGAGGTAAACGCATATGCTCCACCAACCATTGAAATAGTCAGATATAGCCATAGTTGTGATTTTTATGTTTAGCCATCAGAAGGGTTTATAATTAGCAACATATAATTATTTGTCAGTGTCTCTGACGTTGAGTATAATGTATTTTCGATCAAGTTTGTCTCACCCACCAGCAAGTTGCCATTATTCGTTCGAACGGTGGGAACTTTACTGAGATTCGTTAATAATGATAAAACGTATAAAGAGGTCAGACAGTCTGCAGTTCCGTCATCAGGAACCCGACTTGGACAAATCTACTGAGATGTGCATCAAACCGAGACGCAGACTCGGCCATTATGAATAGCGTCGTCTCCCAAGCAAATGTCGCAAGACGCAATGTCACCAAATGCAACATGCATCAATACAACTATCGCAGGTCAACACGCCAACATACAGCCTATCCGCATACACACAGCAGACATCATCACCTCGAACCTCCGTCAACCAGAATCATACGATGCAATGATATTAGGTGCAGATCACCCCGCAAATACCACAAGACGCATTACTGCATATAGCCGCACGCATCAATGTGACTATCGCGTAGGTGGCACACCCTCACACCACACCAATACAACTCCAATCAACTTCGGCTCCAAAAAGTTTAGAATATACTCAGAACACACGAAGTGTCCAAACATACTCTTTCACGATCCGAATGATAGTCGACGTATCATAGCGTAAACACTAAGACGCCAACAACCAACGGACCCCCACCCAAGTCAAGTAATAGCCACCGTATCATAGTGGAATACACTAAGACGCAAGCCACCACCAGACTCCCCAAAGTCAGATGATCAGTCGACGTATCATAGTGCAACACACTAAGACGCCAACTACCACCAGCTATCGATGATATGTCCACCACGGAAGACATATCCATTCATGGTTCCACGTTTACCGTAGACCATATCGTCGTACAGAAGTACCACGCAACTCCATAGTAATATGTCTTATAAAGTCTCAAGTCATTCATTGCTCTTCATTATATTTATATATTCATTATTTTTCCTCTGAGCCTTCACATATTATTACTTTTATCCATTAGACCTTACTTCCATATGATATTGGTATGGGACGTTCATACAATGTACTTTGACTATAGTACTAAGAGTCGCGATCGACCTCTGTACTTACATATGTGCGGTCATACAAATGTGTCCCCGCACGGTACATAATACTTCCCTTAGAAATTACTAAGTATGGAATTGTATTTAATGGACATAATAGTGATCGTATCTTGCTATATTTTAATAAATATCCTTTTTTTTGAGTATTTTAAGTGATTTTTAACTATTTTTTATCAATTTTTGGTAATATCATTTTCTCATTCTAACACTTATATTTCTTAAATTTAAGTATATATTATTAACTTTTATTTTGACTAAACGTTCTTAAACGTTTTACTTTCATCTTAATTGATCTTTATTATGACTAATTAATAATAATATTTATTATTATTAATAGGTCGTTACAGTGTGAAAAATTTAAATTTTTATAAAAAATGGAAACTAAATGTTTTTCGTCGCTGGGGGAATCGAACCCACGTCTTCCGGATTCTCGCTCCGACGCCTTAAGGCAAACTATACGGCGATGCGCATGTCCACATGCCAGACGCTTTAGTCTGACATGTGGACATGTGCTAATGCCTCGGCTGCATGTACCTTAAGTACATGCACGTGGACATGCGTGATGCAGGATACTGCCGCAGAACAAGCCGAAGGAGAAGCTGAACATACCGTGCAAGGGCTGCGACAAAGTCTTCCACTCGAAGAAGAGCTACAGAGCCCACGTGTGAGTAGAAGCTCTAGTTACTATACTATACCTTACTGCGGAAAACAAAATAAAAAATAAAATAACATTTTACATCGTAAATTTCACGTATACAAACACCCGAAAAAGTTGTTTGCGGGCCACACAAATACTTGTCCCGTGCGGGTATCGAACCCACGACCCACCTGGCTCAGAAGCCGGCACCTTTAAATATTTTTTTTCATTTGAAGTTGGCGAAGCATCTGCCACTCCGCATAGTATGACCATACTCGGCGCACTGCCTTGTTTTTTTATGTGAGAAGGTGGTGGTTCACCTGATGTTAAGTGATAACCCCCGCCCATGGACACTTTTAATGCGCAGAGGTATAACACTCCTACTTCACGCCGATCTTCTGTGAGGTCGCGGTATTCACCCGGACTTGCCCATTTGGTGCAACAGGCTCTTAGGCTGTTGCACGAGGCAAGGCCCCAGCTTCATCCGCAACGCGCCCAAGTACCCAGAAAGCTGTTCCACTGGAAGCGCATCCGCCCCACCCCCACTTCATTCTAAGGTGGCTACCACCCCTAGGTTTCCTTCCCTACTCAATCTCCTCCCATAAATAAATAAAAACAAAACTCCAGCGTGATCCACAACTGGCTCACGTACCCGTGCCCCATCTGCGGCAAGCTGTTCCACTGAAATCGCATCCGCCCCACCCCCACTTCATTCTAAGGTGGCTACCACCCGTAGGTTTCCTTCCCTACTCAATCTCCTCCCATAAATAAATAAAAACAAAACTCCAGCGTGATCCACAACTGGCTCACGTACCCGTGCCCCATCTACGGCAAGCTGTTCCACTGGAAGCGCATCCGCCCCACCCCCACTTCATTCTAAGGTGGCTACCACCCCTAGGTTTCCTTCCCTACTCAATCTCCTCCCATAAATAAATAAAAACAAAACTCCAGCGTGATCCACAACGGGCTCTTGTACCCGTGCCCCATCTACGGCAAGCTGTTCCACTGGAAGCGCAACCTCCTCCCCTCCCCACTTCATCTAAGGAGCCCCCTTATCTGCCACCCTAAAGCTTCCTCCCAAAGCCCCAAAAAAAGTGAAAAAAATCCGCCCCAGCGTGATCCACAACGGAATCACGTACCCGTGCCCCATCTGCGGTAAGCTGTTTCACTGGAAGCGCAACCTCGCCCCCACCCCACTTCATTCTAACGAGCCCACTTATCTGCCACCCTAAAGCTTCCTCCCAAAGCCCCAAAAAAAGTGAAAAAAATCCGCCCCAGCGTGATCCACAACGGGCTCACGTACCCGTGCCCCATCTGCGGCAAGCTGTTCCACTGGAAGCGCAACCTCCCCCACCCCACTTCATCCTAAGGAGCCCACTTATCTGCCACCCTAAAGCTTCCTCCCAAAGCCCCAAAAAAAGTGAAAAAAATCCGCCCCAGCATGATCCACAACGGACTCACGTACCCGTGCCCCATCTACGGCAAGCTGTTCCACTGGAAGCGCATCCGCCCCACCCCCACTTCATTCTAAGGAGCCTAGGTTTCCAGCCCCTAAATCTCCTCCCAAAAAAAAAAAAAACAATCCGCCCCAGCGTGATCACAACGGGCTCACGTACCCGTGCCCCATCTGCGGCAAGCTGTTCCACTGAAGCGCAACCTCCGCCCCACCCCCACTTCATTCTAAGGTGGCCCACGTATCAGCCACCCTAAAGTTTCCTCCCACTCAAGCTCCCCACATAAAAAAAAACTAAAACAATCCGCCCCAGCGTGATCCACAACGGGCTCACGTACCCGTGCCCCATCTGCGGCAAGCTGTTCCACTGGAAGCGCAACCTCCCCCCCACCCCACTTCATTCTAAGGAGCCCACGTATCAGCCACCCTAAAGCTTCCTCCCAAAGCCCCAAAAAAAGTGAAAAAAATCCGCCCCAGCGTGATCCACAACGGGCTCACGTACCCGTGCCCCATCTGCGGCAAGCTGTTCCACTGGAAGCGCAACCTCCCCCCACCCCACTTCATTCTAAGGAGCCTAGGTATCAGCCACCCTAAAGCTTCCTCCCAAAGCCCCAAAAAAAACTAAAACAATCCGCCCCAGCGTGATCCACAACGGGCTCACGTACCCGTGCCCCATCTGCGGCAAGCTGTTCCACTGGAAGCGCAACCTCCCCCCACCCCACTTCATTCTAAGGAGCCCACGTATCAGCCACCCTAAAGCTTCCTCCCAAAGCCCCAAAAAAAACTAAAACAATCCGCCCCAGCGTGATCCACAACGGGCTCACGTACCCGTGCCCCATCTGCGGCAAGCTGTTCCACTGGAAGCGCAACCTCCCCCACCCCACTTCATTCTAAGGAGCCTAGGTATCAGCCACCCTAAAGCTTCCTCCCAAAGCCCCAAAAAAAAACTAAAACAATCCGCCCCAGCGTGATCCACAACGGGCTCACGTACCCGTGCCCCATCTGCGGCAAGCTGTTCCACTGGAAGCGCAACCTCCCCCCCACCCCACTTCATTCTAAGGAGCCCACGTATCAGCCACCCTAAAGGCTTCCTCCCAAAGCCCCAAAAAAAACTAAAAAACAATCCGCCCCAGCGTGATCCACAACGGGCTCACGTACCCGTGCCCCATCTGCGGCAAGCTGTTCCACTGGAAGCGCAACCTCCCCCCACCCCACTTCATCCTAAGGAGCCCACTTATCTGCCACCCTAAAGCTTCCTCCCAAAGCCCCAAAAAAAGTGAAAAAAATCCGCCCCAGCGTGATCCACAACGGGCTCACGTACCCGTGCCCCATCTGCGGCAAGCTGTTCCACTGGAAGCGCAACCTCGCCCGCCACACGCGCAACCACCGCGAGCGCGACGCGGGCGCGCTGCACCAGTGCCGCGACTGCGGCAAGAGCTTCTCCAGCCGCGACTGCTACAACAACCACATGCGCCTCAGCAAGCGGCACGTGTCCGAGGACGCGTACGTGTGGGTACACTTCGAGCGGTCTTTTCCTTTTGAAGTAGAACTTCTTAGTTGGGGGCCCTCCATTATTCACGTGAGCCTCCAAAGGGGGGATTTATGTGTGTTATTTGTTATTCTGACGTATAAGCTATGTTATTGTAAAGTTTCATTAAAATCCTTTCAGTAGTATTTGCGTAAAAGAGTAACGAACATCCAAAACCATACATACAAACTTTCGCCTTTATTATATTAGTAAGGATAGTAAGGATGATCCTTAGTTTCAGAATATATTTAAAGATAATATTCTAAAAATTTTGAGATTCCTTGTAGGTACTAAAAATACACGTTTCACCAAGGAGGAGGAGAGAGGTTAAAAAGTGCTAAAAAAATCACATGATTAATGGACGGCCCCTTAGCCGGTGAATGCGTGACGAGAGCGTTACGAAAATTGTGATCGGGCGAGGCGAACGGAAGTTGAGATGGAGATATGAGTTATGGAGATAGCAAGCAGAGTTACGTTTCGTATATTACTGTAGGAGCAAGAGAGTTATGCGAGCGCACATTTTCTTACTCTCTTCCTCTCATAGCCTGTGCATGAAATATTTCGTTTCGCGAACCTGTGACTAATTAATTAATTTGTAATTTAATTTCATACTTAAACAATTTTGTAAATTAATATTTTGTTTAATACATAAAACATTCTACGTTTGAAGTTAATAAAATTGTAAGTTCACTTAGATGGAGATACAAATTACATGTAGATGGAGCTAAAGAAGTTTTACTTCAGTCGTGTGGTATAAAGCGCACTAGGCTTTTTTTTTTTCAATGTGAAAAGGTGGCAAGCGATGTCGAGTGGTAACCGCCCGTGGACGTTTGCAACACCCGTACGGTTGCAGTTGCCACCGTTAAACAAAGTGGGCCCCGGCTGCCACGCTCACCAGACGAAACGTCGAAGTGTAACACTTCCACCGGTCTTCTGTGATCTCGTGGTACGCAAGACCGGACGTGATTTCCCAATCGTGCAACAGCAAGCTGTGCGTGGCCCTACCACTACATGTGGGATTTGTATAGGCCTTTCCGTATACAATACTACACAATGTTTTTTTTTTTTAATGGGAAAAAAAGGGCAAACGCAGGAGGCTCACTTGATGGTTAAGTGATCACCGTATGGAAAATAAATAATAAAACCGTTTAAAAACTTTAAAGTTAAACGGTTTTATTTACGTGCACTGAAAATTACAATATTGTATTGTCATCTAAATTGTGTGTACCAAATTTCAGATCAATCTGACAACGGAAAGGTGCTTAAATTTCAATTTCTAATTTTGACCCAAATAAACAAATAAATTCCGTACAGGTCGAGCTAAATAAAACCGTTTAAAATAAATTAAAAAAAACACTTACTCCCGCTTTCTTACACACTAACCATCGTAGAAATTAATTAATCTGCTGACAAATGGCTTTTCAAATGTCATTTAATTTGTCAAAAATATGGTTAAACTCTTCGAATTGATCATTCTGAGATCGTTCTGATAACTTCTATGACAATCAGTGATTCAGAAACCGGGCGTTAGACCTAAATCTTTATGATTAAAATGTTATTATGTTATACATATCGAAATTAGGCACGCGTGTAACTACTGCGGCAAGAAATTCGCCACAAAGTGGTGCATGGTGGACCACATCGACTGGGACCACCTGAAGCTGATCAAGTACCAGTGCAATGTCTGCTTCGTCTAGTCCCAAATTAAGCAACGCTTGTACTATGGGGGGGGTTGATTTTAAACTTTTCTTTGTAAATAACTACAAATAATAAAATGGAAGCTAGGAAAGTTCTTCTCATCGCGACTGTGGGAATGGCGAAGGAGGCAGGTGAACTACCCACAACGCCAACTTCGGGATATTCGTTTCCAGCCCCTAAACTAAACGCTGCCACACCGACGAAATCCTAACGTCTTTTATCTACATAATTTTTTTAGCATTTCAAGTAATTCGTCCATTCTTCTATCCTTACCAGCATACAAACAATTTCGAATATCGTTTTACAACGGTACGAGATACGTCGCCGTTGCTTTTTGGAAATTTAACTCTTTTTATCGTGCTAATCTCTGCACTTAGGACTAAACATTAACACACGTCTGCAGGCGTTCAAAACGGCCAAAATAATGGTGGCCCACATCCAAAACATCCACGAGGGTAAGAAGAACAAACATTGGAGGAGGAGCATCTCTGCGAAATATGCGGCAAGTCCTACAAGGTGAGTTGCAGATTCGAGCCTCGGTGGCGTTTTTATTTTTTATTATTATCTAGGGATGTGAAAAAATAATCTATATGTTTATTTATTTATTGTTAAGAACCACTAACGGAATAACATGTTGTTTCGTAATTAAGACAATAGTCTTAGGAAGTGAGATTTACACGATTCCATTTACAGGTAGTAGTCGATTCTTTTCTTCTTATAATCGATTTTGAAAAACATTTTTTTTTAATAATAACAATCGATTAAATCAACTTCGCCCAGTAATCGATTTTTGTAAACAGCCATCTGTATGTCTTTATGTGAACCAGTTTTATTACTTTTGAACAGATTGGATTCTTATATAGTGTTACGAGTAAAGCATTGAATATTTGCGGCAAAATTATTTCAGTTTTTTTTTTATTGTTTAAAGTATAATATAAGAAAAGCAGGTGTTTTGTATTTAGTTATAAAACCAGAGGGTTTTCGTTTATGTTATTATTTATTATTTCTTCTTAGTTATCTTCTTAATAATCGATTCTTTCTACTGATCTAATTTTCTTCCCAAAATCGATTAATATAGAAAAGAGAAAGATCCATGAACGCTGTAAAGGGTTCGAAACGTCGGGAATTAAAACCAAAAATAAACGCGATAAAACCGTAAACATAATTTCATTTCATGACTCCGTGGCTCAAATTTATGCACGTAAAACGTCCTTGCAACACGGGATAGTCTTGTCCTAAAGTTATGTTTCTCAAAAAAAAAAACACAAACAACGTTTAGTAAATCTTAACTACTTACACCTAGGGTCTAATGCCCGGTTCCTATATTCAACCAACGGCCGTTAGTTTCATAGCTTTGTAACTTTCATAACGACTTATAGACTGGCTAGTCCACCGGTTCTGCGTCAGATGAAGCTTTAATAGTCTCGGGACTGAAAGCACAATCATCAGTTAATACAAGATGCAAGACTTATAGATAAAAGGCGTGTACGCCCGGTTCCTATATTAACAAAACATAAGAGGCGTTTTCCTCGCGGGCCGTTGCATTACCTACGGGAACTGTCTCTAATCTACAAGTCGTTACGAAAGTTCCGAAGCTAACTAACCAACGGCCGCGCGTTGAATATTGGAACCGGGGACAAATCACCCCTTCACTCGCACCAGACCGTGAAGCGGCTCAAAGGCCACGTGTGGGCGATGCACACGAACCGCTCCGCATCGAAGAGCTTCAAATGCAAGCTCTGCCCCGCGACTTTCACTTGGCAGACCTCGATCTACAAGCACATGAAGATGATGCACAACGCCTTCAAGCGAACAAAGGTAATACAGCTAGTGCTGTCCCCTTAATCCGCCTCCATACCTTAGGGATGTAAGAATATCGATATTTTGATCTTATATATCGATATTTTCAGCCGATATATTTTGATTCGATATATTGATACAAAATATTTAATATCAAAAATTGTATCAAAAACTATATTTATTCAAATTCTAATCCGGCGCAGAGTCTGGAGGTGTGAAATATTTAATACTTGACGTACCTTTTTTTGTTGGACAACGGGGTATCTGCCCGATTCAGATTCTATTAATGAAAGTAAAAAAAAGTAAAGTAACAGCCTATACATGTCCCACTGCTGGGCAAAGGCCTCCTCTATACAGAGGGTATCAGGGCATAGTCCACCACGCGGCCCCACTGCGGATTGGCGGACTTCACATATCTTCGAAATATATACATATATATATATATATATATATATATTTTTATTATTTCGAAAATATGCAGGTTTCCTCACGATGTTTTCCTTCACCGCAGAGCACGTGATAAGTCAGCACTTAAAGTTAAAAACTTCATTGGTGCCGACACCGGGCGATCGATCTCAGGTTGCTCGAGTATATTGAATTAAAGGCGAGCGCCCGGACACTGAGCTATCACGGCGTTTAATGATTTATTGCCTATTAATGATTTCAACCTTAATCCCCAACTTGGAAAATAGCTCAGAACTGGATTACAATTCAATATGCACAGTATTCATTTTGCGAAATATTATTAACAAACGTACTGACACCTGGCACATTTGCCAAGGAATTGGCTTCGGCGCCGGTGGTCGTGTGTTCGATTCCCAAACGTGAGAACTATTTGTGTGACCCACAAATAATTATTTCGGATCTGGATGTTTGTCCACGTGAAAATGTTTGTAAAATGTCCTTACAACACAGGATTATGTTATCCTATAGTAAGGGCAGTTTTTTTTTTTAAAAAAAAGCTTTTTCTCACTAAACAATAGTTCAGTCGCTTACTTGATCTCCGCATCGCCTTAAATGTTGAGAATGCTTCAGGCATTTAAGACTTATAGATGTCTTGCATTGTAGTATACAGGGCCAGATCTAGAGGTCTGGATGCCCTTGGGCTCAAATTATTTTCCATTGCTTTCTGTTAACATTTAATGTAATCATATTTGTACCAAGTACTGTAGGTAGAGGTAAAACGCGAAAAAAAAATATGAAAGGAAAAGTTGTTTACAAGTGTTTACTAGTTTGAAATTGAATTTTTTTTCCGAAGTATGTATTGTGGGGCTCCTCTTTTGTGGAGGCCCCGGGACCTACGGTCAGTCGCCCTCCCCTAAATACGGCCCTGGTAGTGTATAAATGAATGGCCCAATTTTCAGCAGTCGCGTCCACTGCCCACGTTGAAGAAGCCGGAGCCCTACCAGGATATCGAACGTATGCAGTACTTCCAGCAGAATCTGCCAGGCAGTCTGGCCCAAAACCTGGCCCCGCCACCGCCCCTGGCTTTGGGCCAAAGCATCGTTTGAAATTGCATCTAAAACAAATCCCGTCTTGGTTGATATAAAACATAACCACCGGATTAAATTAATCCACCCAAACGCCATGACGTATCTGTTACTGTGGTTGGGTCACATAACAGTCTTCATTGTGGAATGGGCAGGTCAGTCCGGGAAAGTACCACAACCTCACAGAAGACCGGCTTCGAGTGTAATTAAATACATTGCTTCGTAACAAACAAATGAAACTTCACGTCTTTCAAAATTTTACTAATTCTTATTGGATGCAGCAACCATTGGGCTACAAATATGTTAAAATAACATATCCCAATCCTTAAGTTGAGTTGATCCCACCATGGTGAGGTATAGAACTAGAAAGAGGGACGGATAAATTAACTGGTTTAAAATTGTAAAGTAACTATACTTTATACAACTTTTTCTCACATCCGGAGTTTAACAAGTTTAATGTATATAAGTTGACGGTTGACTACAGATTTGCCACACTGTAACGCCACAATGTAATATCTACGGTGTTTTTGATATTTTTATAGCCTTTTCATTGCCATACTAGTATTATATAATAGTTATACTGAAAGTACAACGATTTTTATGTGACTTAATACAATAATGAAATTGAACCACTTGTGTTTTATTTTTTCTGAATCATTGAATATAGCTGTATATTTGATAATGAAAGCAAGATACATATGAGATTTGGCCAGTGCTGGGCGAACGCACAACCCTTGCGCCACCGAGTAACTCATCCATTTTGTATAAAATTTTTAAATTTACTTTTAATAATTATTGTATCTTGAAGACAGGCAGTGTTGATATGCTTGGATTTTGTTTTATTAATTATACAGTAGGATCCCAGATTTCTCTGAAGATTTTAACATACCATAATCTCTATAGATTTTAAGAATGTTGGAAGTTACAGTTTGTTTGCAAAAAATTGAATAAAATTTTTACGATGCACAGGCACACCGATCCTCTTCAAATTCAGAAAATAAAAATTTGTAAACCATAATAAGGATCTCAATGTAATGTATCATGGTTGTGGTAAATATTCTGACTCAGTGTAACATTCAATGCGCTATTATTATTAAGTGGTATGATCAAATAATGGTATAAAAATGATAAGAATTATATACATATTTATATATTCTATCAACAGAAGTTTTTTATAAATTAAGATTTGTCCTATCATATAAATTGATATACCATAACCCTTTAATCATAGATCTAATATAGTTCTCATTAGAATCTGGAGCCACAAACTTTTCTCACATCTCAAGTTATAATTAAAATCCTCAAAAAGTATAAAAAAATATCAATTATGGTGTTCTTGAAACAATTCTGGTAAGCATCTTTAATTATATTTTATGGTAACACCTTAATTAATAAGTTGTGTGAATAGCAACATGTTTAAATATTATTTGCAATTATGCCACATCAAACCAATTTTTAACATTAACTTATTAAAGATAATGCAAACAAATTAAGTTGTTTACTAAACATAATCTAAAATTATTAAGAAAATACAAAGCTCGAATAAAACATCAGTGTACGAAAAAGCTTAATTTATTATTATACCTAGTAATCTTAAATATTACTTTTTATTTTTATTCTGCGGGTTCCTCCCCGTGTTCCCGCCGCCTCTGGACAGCGGTGCTGGTCTGCCACGGTTGCCGAAGGCGCCACGACTGCCACCGCGGCCTGTCCTCATATTTTGCCCACCACCGCGACCTTTCGAGACCTCGCTGCGGCCTCTCGCTTTCACCTGGGTCTCCTCTTTCACCATGTCTATAACCTCGTCAGGTATTCGTAAATATTTTATCGTGCTACCCCGAATATAGCATTCCGGCATCCTCCAGAACTTATCACCATCGCGCGACGTGCAAATCACTTCGCGAAGGTTTATATTCATCCAATTATCACAACTCACGAGGTGACCGTTGTATGTTTCGCCATTCTTCAACTCCACCAGCATCGGATGATTCTGGGCTGTACGCAGTAAAGACAATGGAAGCATGTTCGCAGTATGTTGAAAACAATTTCTCGTTTTATATATCACAAATGAAAACAGCTTTTCGTTGTATTAGTTTTCATTATTATTTAACTTGATAATTGCTGTACTTATTGGTAGTGGTACAAATGACGTTTGTGTGTTGTGCTTGTGATCAAGTAGGGATGTCGAATAATATCGATATTTTCAGCTGATATTTTGTATCCAATATATCGCTACAAAATATTCAATATCGAAAATCGTATCAAAAATTAGATTTTTTCAAATTCGAATCCGGCACAGGGTCTGTTGCCCAGTTTCCGAAAGGCCAATCAAAGCAGCAATCACATAACACGATGTCAAAAATAATCAGCTGTTAATCTCTTGTTAAACTGCCTTGGGTTTCTGGAAGGTTTGTCCAAGAAAAATTAGCTAATCACTGTATAACCAACGATAATCAATAAAATGAATGATTTACTTCAACTAACTCTTTCTATTGTATAGCTGTCCCTTTTTAAACAAAACTTAAACTAGCGTCTCTATCCAGTCCTGTCACCGTGTGATTGCCAACGTAAAAATCCGAGCTATAATAAAATTTAATTGATATAAATACATGCAAAATGTCAAGAAAAAACATTACAGAACGTGAAAAAAATGAACTTTTATCCATAATAAACAAGTAAGTATTATAAAAAGAAAGAATCCATATTATTATTTTTTTTTTATAATTTGGCATCACGCGGTTTGCGCATATGCCACTGACAAAAGCAGGGAAACGTTTATCACGATTTAAAAGTACATTACTCACGGAATTGGAAAAGGATCAGATAGGATTACTATGATAGGATAGGTATAAGGATTTATAATTTCAAATGATTATTTAACAGGAAAATAGATAAAGCTGTATATATATCAGAATTAGAACATGCAAGAAGAGATTTGATAGAAGTAGGAAATGGTACACGGATGGAAACGAGATGATTATAAAAGGAAAAAACGTCATTCAAAGGGATACATACACATGATCTAATCTCATTCGAGTAATTGATGAAGTAACTTGTTTACCAAACCTCAGAGATGAAAACCATGGCTTATTAGGAATATTAGGTTGTAAAGATTTTAAAAAAATTCCCTTGATCCTCCCGCTAATTTCCCAAGCTTTATTCCAAGTTTCCTTGAGATAGAGCATAGGCAGCGTAGTCAAATCATGGCAGTAATTAATGTAAGGATGAATGTCACCGCACACCACAGCCTCATTAGCCAGACGATCAGCTAAAACATTACCAACAATACCCACGTGCCCTGGAATCCAGACAAACATCACGACATATCCTCTTAAAACACAATTATGTAAAGCAGTTCTAATATTAAATATTACAGGATACATGGGTTTAGATTTGAAGGGATATCTTTGAATCGCCATTAAAGCGCTTTTAGAATCAGATAATATAAGGGTTTTTTCTAACTTCATTTACAAAATATATTCTAATGCTTTGAGGATACCAAAACATTCCCCTGTAAAAACAGATGTTTCAGGAGGAAACTTAATTTTTTGTACTATATTAAATTGTTTGTGATAAACCCCAATTCCAACATGAGAATTATGTTTCGAAGCATCAGTGTAAATGCGATGCCAATCTTCGAAATGATTATGTATCATAGAATTAAATTCATAATTAGAACTAACGATATTTCTATTGATGTCCAAGTTTAAACAAACATTAGGTGAGGTAATCAAACTTTCGAAACTACAGGAGAACAAAGGAAGTGAAGGACAACGATAAACAGGAGATTGAATGGACATAAATTTTCGAAAACTAATTATTAAACAGGGTAAAGGCTTATGTGTCCAATAAGCGGAGGTGTTAACTATTTCTGACAATAATTTGAGTTTATTAAAAAGTGGATGATTAGAGTTCTGTACAAAGCGGAAGAAGAATTTGTCTGCTAGATATTGTCTACGTAACTGTAAGGGTGGTTCACAACATTCAACTTGCAGGGCATTAATAGGTGTAGTTTTCATAGCTCCAGTAATAATTCGAAGAGCTTTAGCTTGTATGCTATTCATTTTGGAAAAACCAGAAGAACTGCCGGGTTCAAGAAGAAAGGTACCATAATCGAGTACACTTCTAATGATAGCATTATATATTAATTTTAAAGACAAAGGATGCGCTCCCCACCACACTCCCGAAAGACATCTTATAATATTTAACAACCTCTCGCACTTAGCCACCACATATTCCATATGGGGAACTCCAGTGAATCTTGCATCAAGATAAACACCTAAAAATTTAACATTATTTTTAACTGGAATTATAATATTATTGTATTTAATGAGGACGGGAGGGGGTAATCGGCATCTAGAAAATAAAACTATTGTGCTTTTTAATGGTGCAAGTTCCAAATTATTTTGGAAAAGCCAGTTCTTTAATTTATGAAGGGAAGAATCAAGAGCAAATTTAGCTTTATCTATGGACTTATTTATATTATAAATTAACAAATCGTCCGCATACTGTAGCACCTTAACATCGTTGCTTAATGAACACTCTAAACCATATGTATAGATATCATATAAAATAGGACTTAGAACTGATCCCTGCGGGATACCTTTCCAAACTATTCTAGCAGGTTCATTAGAATCTCGCAGGGTAATTGAACACTCTAATAAAATGTTCAAAATAAAATTTACTAGCATGAATGGGACTTTTAATTGGTTGAGTTTATGTTTTAGAATTGGGAGGGAAACATTGTCATAAGCAGAGCTTATATCCAAAAAAGCTGCCAATACAGAATTATTATTAGAAAAAGCAAGACGAATATCTGTAGTGAATATCGCCAGACTGTCTATAGTGCTTCTGCCTCTACGAAATCCAAATTGATTTTCTGATAACAATTTATTACTTTCTATAAACCACTCTAACCTATTTTTAATTAGATGTTCAGCAATCTTTAAAACAACAGATGAAAGAGCTATTGGTCTATATGATGAATGATTATCAGCAGGTTTATTGGGCTTTAATATAGGAATTATCTCCTGCTCTTTCCATTGTGGTGGAATTTTTCCAGATTTCATAACAGAGTTTAAAATATTCAAAAAATATAGAAAACATGTATCACTCATATGAGTAAAAAAGGAATGCATGATACCATCTTTCCCGGGTGTAGAATCTTTAACATTCGTTAAAACTCCTTTCAATTCAGGTAGTGTAAAGGGAGCATTAAGGACGGAGGTATAATTGCAATTACAACCTGTGGAATTAGTCAAACTGTCACCGATGTCATTGACATTATTGATGATAAATGTGTTCTCATGCGCTCTATGTAAAGAAGAAATCGGGCTATAAATTAGTTCTGGTTGAGGAACAAAGGGAGGAGCCAAATTATCCAAAAATTGATCAGACATAGTAGGCGGTAAACTGGGGGATGAATTCTTGAAAGCCGATCTGAAACGTCTAATATTTTGCCAAACTAAAGATGGTTTAACTTCAGGTGAGATGGTTTCACAGAATTTTTTCCATCCTTCCCATTTCTTCCTTTTGAATAATTTTTTAGTGGCAATAATAGCATTATTTAATATTTCAAAATTTTCTTCTGAACTTAATAAATTGTAATTCAATTCCGCTTCCTTCCTTTTTTTGACAGCCCAGGAACACTCACTGTCCCACCAGGGAGGCAATGGAATATTATTTGAGGAAGGCTTCTTTGATGGAAAATCTTCGTCAGCAGTCTCAATTATAGCATGAGCAAAAGCTTCAGAACAGAGATACTCATCACCTTGGCTTAAGATGGGAAAAGTTGAGATCTTACTATCTAGGGCAGTTTTGTATAAATCCCAGTCTGCACTAGCCAACTGATATTTAATTCGGCAAGAAGTTTTAGTTTTATTGATATTTTTAAAAGGTAAATTTATTTAAATTGGGAAGTGATCACTACCATAAGTGGAGTTTAAGGTTTGCCAAATTAATGATGAGGCTAAACTAGGTGAAGACATGGAAAGATCAGGAGCACTTTTACTTTCATTAATATTGGTTCTTCGTGTAGGAGTGCAATTATTTAAAATACAAAGATTTAGTGAATCTACAATGTCCAACACTTCACGTCCATAGTTATTGTTATTTGAACTACCCCATGACTGGTGTTGAGCATTAAAGTCACCTAAAACAAGTATAGGTTTGGGAAGAGATACTAAAGTATTTTTACTTATACTTCATTTAAAATTTGAGAAGAAGGATGAGGAATATATATAGAGACAAAGCAAATATTTTTTACAATGATAGCAATGATTGAGAGATTTTTATCATGAGGAGAAATATTTACATGCGAAAAAGGAAAAGGATGTTTTACTAATATTGCAACACCACCATAGCCATCAGATCTATCTTCTCTAATACAAGAATATCCTTGAATTTTAAAAATGGATTCAGGTTTTAACCAAGTTTCTTGAAGACATACTATGGTGGGATGATACTTATTAATAATATGGATAAGATCACTTTTCTTACTATTTACACTATGACAATTCCACTGAATTGCCTTGGAGCAACTGTCCATTATGACTAATATACTTATTTATAATTTCCATTATTGGTTGGGCTACGTTGGACGGTTGATTTTGATTTAAAATATTTAATAAAGCAGTTTAAGTTCGACAATAGATTGTTTAGATGAATCATTTGTTTCATTGTTGAGTGCCCAACCATTTTTAGGGGAAGGCAAATCGAATTCATTTATGATAGCATTATGAACCTTGACATATCCTTTGTTTGACGTTAAATATTGATGAGGTTTTAAAAATACAGTCTTCTTATATGAAAGATTTTGAGAATCTTTATTATTATTTATATGAGTTCTGTTGATGACAGAGGTTGAAGGAGTGTTTGAAGAAGTTGCTACAACATCAGAATATGATTTGGTTATTGTAGGGAAGATTTTAGATGCCTCTGCATAAGAAATACTATTTTTAGCCATATGCTCTTTGATATTTTTTTGCCTTAAAAATTCTTTACATATTTTATTTGTTGCATAGT